AAGGCATCACAGTCCAATGGCATCAATGGCATTAATTGCATATTGAATTGGCTTGTCTGGGGGAAAAGACTCAAGACGCCAGCTTCAGCTTTGTACAACGGGCCTGTGCCGTGCGGCGTGCATACGGGCGCTCCGCTGCCTCAGCATCCTTGCTTGGGAAAAAGGCCAGAGACCAGCCATGGAAGAAACTTGTATGAGACGATGTCCCCAGCCGGCTGATTTCCCAACCATTGTTTCATAGAGTAATATTGCCGCCTTACTCGTGGTTTCCCCGCCGAACCTACGACGCATCCGTCTCTCAGGCCTGTTTCTTACGGGCGACAGACGGCAAAAGTTGGAAAGTCAGCGGTAAACGGCTAGACTTGTGTGTTGCGTTAAGGAGCACCTCTGGCAGAAGGATCCGTGACCTGGTCCCGACGCCATCAATATAGCATCTTACAGGTATCCTTGCGCGACATCGCAACAAAGAAGCAACTTCGCCTCGGGGTCTGTCGGACTATGACGCCGTGGTTCTGGTTTCAATGACAAACCGATTGCCGAGCAGATTGACATGGGCAGTTTGGTCATGAGGCAATAACTGGCGAACATCCTTGCCGACCTAATAAATGAGGCTTGTCGGACGAGCAACGGCATAAGAAGCAAGCACAAAAGTGACACACGAGATATTTCTGCACGGAGAAGTCCTTCTCATCGACATGGGTTTTGCTACAGAGCCCTGTCCGCCCTAAAAAGAGGACTGAAGATATCCGCTCTTTCCGCCCCTCCTGGTCCAATTATCGACTGCGGGTTTCCTCAGCGCCGGTCATCCAAGTTACCAGTAGAAGCGCGAGAAGATGAAAAAAAGTACAACGAGTCCACATTGCGCGGGGAGCCTGTCAGCCAGAGAAGACACGTCTCCAGGTCAATTGACTTGGAACAGACGGAAAGACAAGGAAGCCAGCGGCAGAAAGGAAAAGAGTCATGACGCTGGAGACTAGTGGTCCTCGCTCCCGCTCTCTTTCTGCAACCGTTCGTGTAAAGGCGCGCCCAGCTAAAAAAGAAAGGGACCCCATTCATGCCGAGCGAATAGCATCGCGAACAACCACTCCATGACCGCCAAAGACACGCGAAACCGCCGCGCCACGCCTCAACCTTTTTTTTTTTAAAGAGGTTTGACAGCAGGCTGAGAGGGGCGCTGCCGCAGGTGGACAGGATTTGCCCAGATGCGCCATGCAGCTTGATACATGAAGCTAACTAGCTTGTCGTGTGAGCAGGCTTGCCGCCGGAGCCATCATCCCAACGACCATCCCTGCTGGGTAGTTGGTCGGAGACTGCCTCGGCGATGCCTTGCTGGTTTCCGTGAGCAGGCATGCGTGTTGCCATAAGGCGGAGAAGCCTTGGCTGCCTTTTTTTTTCTCTCTCTCTCTCTCAATAGGCTCCATAATATGTCATCATATTGCGGAAAGGAGTCGTTGACTAGGATATTCGAAACTATCTTGCAACCGGGGACAGAAAAAAGTTCATACCTGGGCTGGTGACGAGGACATTGAAAAAAATAGGCTCTCATTCTAACTATTGGCAAGGCCTCATCATTAGCGGCCGAGGCGTGCCGCGCCCCAGGGGCGTGGAGATGCCTAGCACCGTTCTTAAGAAAAGCTTGCGGCTCTAACTAGTTCGAACTTGTCTGCTCTTCATAGTTATTTATTGTTTAGCAAGCAGTTTACGGATACAAGCAGCGAACCTTTGCTGGCAACCGGGGCTCTCTAAATGCTATAGTGGTCATGTATGGTTCATCACTGGTGGAGAACTGCACAGCGTATTTTTTAGCGTAAAGCCAAGTTGGAGGACATGCTGGTTATATCTTCGACCGGTATTTGTGCCCGGCAGCTTTGCGTCGACAGCTCGACTTGCTGTCTAGTAAAATGAGGAAAGCGCCGAGCCATTGAGCAAGGAGCACAATGATGCCATCATCGCTTGCAGTCGTAGGTCCCCATGATCACCACGCACCCGAACACAACCCGGAACCCCGGCTAAGGCTTCTGCAAATGATATCTCTGTCATTTCTTGGCATCATTATTTCCTGCCCCAAGTCTCCAACAGCAGCGGAGACCAAGCTCGGCGGATTGGCGCACAGAACAGCCCCAGAAGCGACGACGTGGTGCCAGCGGAGCTCATTTACAGGTAGGTAGCTAGTTACTAACTGATTAAAGTGCTTTCGGGGTGGAAATCCTCCACATACAAGACCCTGCCGGAGAACAAAAGTATAGGTATGGAGCCGTTTCTCCAATTCGAATTTTTCTTTTCATAAACCCCCGCGCCTCTGGAGCTTCGAGATGGAAAATTTTCGTGCAAAGAGGGCCGCAGAGGAGGGGAAGACGAGGCGGTAAAGCCCAGCCCCTCCATTTGAAGCAATTGTCAGGTGAATGATGACTTGTCTTCGCAAAAGGCTGGAGAGGGGTAGAATGTAACTTGTCAATTCTGATTGTAAGAAAGAAACCGCATCTGTTCAACAGAGAACCGGTTGCAGCTCTCGGCACCAACCTGCGGATCCAACCCAGTCATGGGTTTATCCAAGGCAAACGGCTGGCCGCTGGCAGTTGCCAACGCTCGTTTGTTCCTCTTGCATCAACGTTGTGTCCTGATCTACCAACTGTAGATCGGCATGGACATCCATCTGAACCCCGATTCAAATAAACGGTAGCATCATGACGAGATCTAGATCTCTTCCAACGTCCGCCGACCTTCTCTCACGATACCTAGATCTCATATAACGTTCGCTGACCTTCTCTCCAGGGTTGCACTAGACCATCGCCGACCGAGCCTAACCCGACCAACAACACGCCCTGAGCAAGCAATGCATACACAGTCATTCCTGTACACAAATAGCACGAGTCTATGGGCCTCAAGGTTTGCTGCTAGTGTCTCATAATGCCATCGAAATGGGTATAAAGAGACTGGAGACAAAGGTCCGTCCCGTTTTAGCGCGACACCAAGCTCATAACGCCAACCTTTCGCCCGGTCTTTTGCTCGGCCAAGTCAGTGTACATGTGTGTACAAATCTGCACAATACAATCATGAGCTACTGCCGTCCGCTGGCTTGCGAGATGGCGGGAATTGCTTTTTCCGTGGCACACTAATAATAAGTGTCGTCTGGTTTGGAGCCGCCAGCCACCGTCCTCTAGGCACGAGACTGGACAACCATGCACGACACATCATCCAACCGGCCCTTTTGGGCGCTGGGAGTGTCTTTGGGAGAAGCAGATTGCCATACCGAGTATCAATGCCCAATCGATATCGTTGGCTCTTCAAAGAGCTCCCCCGCACTCTAAGCCGTCTTGGATCACTTGAAACCAGACGCACAGTTGGGCGGGGTAGCATTGCAAATTCAGCCGCCCCGCGCTACGTTGGCTCTACATTTGGACTCGGAAGTACAGAGGACAGCGTCACTCGGCGTTGAGCCAAGAAACTCTGGACGCAACGGCGCCTGGTGATGCTTCCTTCTTTCACTGGCCACCTGCTGTGTTCTGGGTACATGGCTACAACGTTGGACGGCTAAGATGACGCAGTCGTCACTACTTGAAGCAATGTCCTGCGCTTCTTTCAACAATGTGCACTAGTATTCGTCGTTGCCATTGTGATCGCCCGAGATGAATTGGATTTAGCGTTGGAGACGCAAACCTGATACCGAACGCTTGGTTCAGCCATTGCTTGGCTTGACACCGCCGCCTCTCGGTTCGGAGGACCCGGACCTTGTTGCTGTTCATACTTGAAGTACGCATCAAGCCCTCTCACGACCTCATGCGTTACTTGGCGTATCAAATCACGGGCCGCCCTCGGCTTATCCAATTGTGGCTGCCGTATGTCATACAAAGAATGGTCTATGCGAGCACAGCACTGAGTTAAATCATCACCTTGCCTCGATCCAGCATCACCTTGCCTCGATCCAGACGGTGTCACTCCCAATTGAGCTTCACACTCTTCCGTGGAACAGATTTTCTCCACCTCAACTCTAGCAAGTAAGATTGATGAGACAGGTGTAGGAATTAACCATTAGGCTCCAGCCTTGGAATCGTCCAGTTAGCAACGAATAGAAGTTGGCTCGATGGCTTTTAGTTCTTGGAGCTAATAAGCAGCTCCTGTGCTAACGTTACGCGCCATGCCTATTTCACGATTACCAACTCCTCCACCACGCGCCAGCGATCAATCAGATCTGCGGTTGTACCCATTGTGGACGTACCTAAGCCACTATTAGCTTTTTGATAGCGTGTTGCTTTGGCATTTGTGGCCATGGGCCCAATTCAACTTGACCACTCACGCGTCCAGCAGCCCGAAACAGGCCGCTCCACGCCATCGGGCGAAGACGCGCTATTCATCGCGTGATGGACATTACGATTGGCGTCGTGGCTAGTTTCTCTATTTCTCTATTTCTCTATTTCTCTATTCCAGCTCGGACCCTGGCAACTGTCGATGAGCTCTCAACGGCATCAACAACATGACTAGCTAGCAAGGTTTGCCGATGAACTAACTGCCTAGCCCTTTTCATCAACACACGCCATCTTCCATCCCGTGTTGAAGCCGCACCGCGATCACGACGTGAGCCAAGAAAAATCGCGAACAAGCGTCTAACAAACCCCTGCAAAGCTTGATAAATTGAATGCCACTTTTTGCTGTGGAACCATGTCGAGTACAAATAGTATGCACCGCCGAGCCATTACTCCTCTGCCCCAGCCACCGTATATGCCTTGGTGTCGAGGCCAGCAAAACGCTGATGAGCCAAGTCTCCGCAACAAAGCAGTATTGGCGTCAGCCGGCGCAGAGGCGTACGCCCGGTAGACGTCATGTTTCAACGCAGGCATACTACACCGTCCATTATAGCACCGGTGGAGGGTAGAGAACCAGTAAAGCATTACGTCGGAGTCATCGACGTGAACTTGGATGCCTAGCATTGCCAATGGCCTTGACGACCGTCGAGGTGCAAGAACAAAAGGCTAATTCGAAGTGAGGGGGACTTCATTATCAAGATGTTGTGCTTCTCCATAAATTGCACGGGTGAACAAGGATGGGATTGTACGAAACCGCGTCTCGATGATGGGACAATTTCCAGGTTGTCGTGACAGCCATTGGCGTTGGCAGCACAGTCGATAACAAGAGTCTCAAACTCGGCCCGCCCCCCTTTATTATTAACATTTTCTTTTACTACCAGGACGTCACCACTAGGCTATATCATCTACCTCGAATCGGCAACAGCGAAGCTTCGGCAACAGCTGGCGAGGCGTCCCTCCAAAATAAGCAGCTAGCTGTGCTGAATAGGTCCACTAATAACTACACATCCGCGGCCTTTTGAACCAGGTTCATGAGCTGCCATTTTCAGTCGACGCTTCCCCCAAACGGGCGGAGCACCTTTCCCAAACGTGAGCATGGAGCCAACTCTAGTTACAGCTGTGCCGGGATATTTCGACGCCACGCCCTCGTTATGTACCAGAACGTATAGGTACAGGACTAACTACGAGACGGTGCACCTGCTCCAACGACCAGCAACTCTACATAGCTACCTAGTTATCACTAGGGAGTAGCTACCTAGGTATGTATCGGGTATCCATATCGGGTCTGACGACCATGGACGGACTCGTCTCTACGAATAGACAAACGTGACAATGGCTGCCCTTCATGACGCGTTCGAGAGCGGCATACATCAGCCGTGAACGATTAACTAATGGTCCATACGGAGTATTATTCTATCAAACGTTTGCCACTCGCCACCACTTGGACTACTAAACACATCAGCATGGCACAACACACCCCGGTAATACATGGTGTTCAGCTCTGCACCGAACCTTGCTCTTGCATGGCCCATACACTGACGCGACCAACCAATTGCCAGTCTCCCTGGTGCTTCGCCTGTGGCTCACCCTGCTGGTAATGCCATTCGACGACTTCGCCAGCTGTTTACACTAATAACCAAGCACGCCACCGGCAAGGAATCGACATCGTCGGTCGCCAATGAGGTGGTCGCGGCGTACAGCCTTGGGCCCGAGGCAACTTTAACCGTTTTTTTACAAATTGCATGCATATGCTTCATTTCAGCCTCTTCATCTGCGGAAGCTATTCGCTGGCATCGCCTGCAGCCTCTCTCCGGCGGGCATCGAATCAGGCTTGGTCGGGCAGCTGGGGAAGCTGCTAGGCTAGCTGCATCGAACGGATACGCCGACTTGGCTTGACTATCAAAGCCAACGAACTAGTTACTGCAGGCTGCGGAAAGCCCATGTTGACAGCACTGCACCGGCTACAATAGCCAGCAACCACGTGTGTATAACAAACTACCTGCGGCGCTGTAGCCTCCAGAATCTACAAGGGAACAGGCTCGGACTTGAAGCACTGGCCGAGATAAGGCTTTCTCCTCGCGACGTCAAGTCCAGTTCTGATGCAAAGTACGAAAAAAAGTCGTTGCTCCAAACATCGGCTGACTGGAGGGAACCGGCTCCATCGCTTTTCGTACTCCAACTAATTATGTATGTATTTGCCAAAGCAAGCCGATCCTCAACGAGGGGCGTGCGGCGCTCGGAATTATAATAAATCGCGAGACCAATGAGCTTTTAAAGATGGCCGAACCAGGATTACTGAGCATAAAATACCTAGGCAGCTCATCCTTCCATATGCAAGGTTCGCATCGAACAAGCCGCGGTCTTGGATCATGATGGGTTTTCAAGGCTGCCCGAATGTGATGAGATATGACGCCTATTCCCGCTCACTGGCGAAAAAGTACAAATTGCTACAGATATCAGGTCCCAGAGTTAGATTGAGGGGCAACAGCGACGCTGCCTCGCACGGGCGACGTTGTTGCTACGTGCTGGGGTGCGGATTTAGACCGAACATGGCACCCCGGACTATATATTTCCCTCACGGGATTCTATCTTTTACGAATCGCAACTACGAGAGGGGCATGCCCAGCACAAACACGGATATGCATTCCGCTATTCTTACTTGAATTCCTTGTAGCGGCGCAGGCTACCAACAGGACGTGCGTAAACCGCGGACCCCTTATATCTACTACCTTGTCCCCAGGCTGAGCAGGGCCGAGGCACAGATTTCTCTTGTCTCAGGTGGCATCGAAGACAGCACTGGGGTCCCCCGGGTACTGTATCTTTGCATCATTATCAGCGCTCACAAATCGTTCATGTCACATCCCAATCTCGTTACACTTCAAGGTGGGCGCAAATGGCGTGGTCAGAAAAAAGCGCGGGCCAATTTCAACGGTCCAAATCTCGGCGCCATGGAGAAGAGCCCTGTCAAGTCAGCGAAAAAGCCGTAACTAATAGGGAGGCTTGGCTCACTCTACTTTGGTACAAAAAAATAGCACAGACGACGATGAATATTCGCATCGATCGTGTTTGCTCACCTCCAATCATCGCGAGGCTAGCCAGAGTCCGACAAAGATTGCACCCAGAAGATGTCGCCTACGACGAGAATAGAATATTGTTGGCCATCTCTTTGTTCTTGGTGTCATTTGTTACGGGCAAAAGTTGAAGGGGAGAAAGTGTTTGCTCTGAAAACTAAGGAAATTTGATGATACGGGATGTGTTCGTGGAGCACGAACCCAGTACCGGCCGGTGCCCCCGGCTCAACATTCCGAATCGAGAGCAGGAGGTGGCGCTGGCGATGCTAATATCAGTTTGATTCAAAGGTAATCTGTAACAATAGCACAAAGGAGAGACGAGAGTCTAATACCAGGACGTCGTCGGAAGGCAGGGAGAGGCCGTCTCCCTTTGGTCATTCAGTTTAAGCAGCAGCAAGTAGCCATCTTGACGTCAAAAAATCATCTGCTACCAACAAGGCCTCACTGATGCTTTCCAAGTCCAACTCAAAGTTCATCGATTCAAATATATATATATAACTTGATAATACTACCAGCACTGCACAAGGCAGCGCACTTGTACTGCTTCATCAAAGCAAATTGTCCGTCCCTTGGGGAATCCGCAACCATGTCCACAAATTTCAAGGTTTTTGTTGTTGAATGTAACAAGTCAATGTCCCTCCGAAAAAAAAAAGCTCCAAGAGAAAAAAATCACATATTATATAACCAACTCCGTACCGTTGCGCATAAAAGTCATCATATGGGCGCAGATATTTTTGGCCTTCTGCGCATGCGTGTATATATAAATATATATAACACCGGGGTGTGTCCCCTTTGCCCTTATGCTTGAGCGACGATGCTGCGGCCCACGGCGCTCCAGCGTAGCTTGCGCAGCCCGACCGAGGAACGAATGACGTCGCTGCCCGCCGACGTGGTGTCGTTGACGCCGCCGCTGCCGCCAACGATGCTGGCAGCCAGGGCCTCCCTCACCTCCTCGCGGCCGACCTCGCGGCCAATGACGTAGCCGGCGCCGAAGCCGACAACCGACACGAGGACGACGACGCCGGCGCTGACGACCCAGCTGAGCAGCGTGGGGGAGATGAGTGCGTACTCGGCCTCGGCGGCGGCGACTGTCCGCTTCTTCTTGGCCGGTCGGGGGCCGCCTGACCGGCCAGCCGACTCGGACCGCTTCGACTTGGGCGAGACAGCACCGGATGAGGGCCGGCGGCGGTGGTGCTGCTTGTCCTCGCCGGCGAGCAACTCCGACTCGGGCATGAAGCGCAGCTCCATAGGCTGGTTGCTGGGGGCGACGCCGGTGCGGGTGGTGCGTTGCGCGTCCGTCTCGTCCTTGGTCTTGGGGAGGCCGCGGGCGGCGGCGGCGCAGGAGAGGAGGGTGGTGAGGGACGCGCGCAGGGCGGCGTCATTGTCCTCGCGGACCGAGGGGGACATGAAGTTGGGCGGCGCGGCGCCGCGCTGACCGCGGGAGTGTCGATGCGGGTACGAGGAGCGTCGAAAGGAGCTGTGCGGGTGGGGGTGCTCGGCCGAGCTCGTCGAGTAGCTCCGCTGGGCGAGGAGGCCGGCCGGCGGGTGTGTAAAGGCGTTGGGATGCGGCTGGAAGACGGGCGGGTTGGAGGTATGGCCGAGTGTGGTGGCGTTGTCGCCGTCGTCGGAATCATCGTCGTCGTCGCCGTCCGAGGGTTCCTTCTCGGAGGAGTGGATATTCTCGGCGGAGCTCGTCATGACGCGGTCCTCATCGCTGTCGCTTTCTTCTTCTTCGTCCTCATCCTGGCTGCTGGCGCCAGCGCCGGCGGCGTGGATGACTGTGTGCTGCTGCTGCGGGGGCAGGGAGCGGGCGGCGGGATGGAGTCGGCGCCGGCGCTGCTGGAAGGGACTGCCGACCTGGAGGCCGGTGGTGACAATTTCGTTGTCGACGCTGGAGAGGGACGAGGAGGAGGGCTGGGAGGAGAGTTCAACCCATGATTCTGCAAGAGTTAGCGGCGGAGACGGGGCGAGAGGCAACGTGTTGTTGTTCGTACCATCGAAGCGACGACTATGGTATATGCTGGGGCTCGGTCGCGGCTCGGGCTGTGAGACGCTGCGACCGAGGTGGTGCCTGCTGGGGCTGGACTGGTCTTCCATGATGGCGGCGCGGTCGGAGACGCTGGTGTTGGTGTTCAAGCGAGTATCAAAAGCAGTAGATGTCGGAGATAGCAAGTCCAAGATTTATTTATTTTATCGATAGGGAGAGCGTAGATGGGTTGACGCGGCGCCGAGGCGAGGGGGCGACGTTGGCTTGTTCGCTTGGGGGGACTTGGTAGCAGGCGGTCTGGTCAACCCCGCCTAATCGGGCTGATAAGGCGCAAGACGATCTGCGGAGACGAGCTGCGCGTGCTTGGTGCAGGATGGTGCCTATGGTGCCGAGGGTGATGTGTGCAAGAGGTGAGGAATCAAAGAAGGATGGCAAAGGACGGATGGATGGATGGGTGGAAAAAGAATAGAAGGAAGCGGAAAAGGATGGGTGAGATTAGATACGGCAAGGCGAAGAGATGGGCTTGAAGATGACAGGCGAGTTTTGGGCTCACGAGTTGCAGTGACAGCGTGAGCAGGCGGGGCGGAGAGGCGCTGTTGGGGCGGGCCAGTGGGCGGATTTTAGTGGGCAATGGACAGAGGGACGATGGGGTTGTTGAAACGTTACCGGATACTAGGTAATCAAGTAATGAATAAATTGAGAAATTGAGAGGAAAAGCGACAGAGGTGTTGTTGACTCTAACTACCTACCTAGGTAGCCTGCAGCCTGCCAGCCCCGTGGTTTGGAGTCGAGGCCAGTACATCACGCGCCCGGCCATTGCGTCACAGGCTCGCCAGCCGCTCCCGTCACAAGGTGTCCTTGGCTTAGTCACCTGCAAAGTTATCGATACTGTGCAGACACCGCACCGCGTAGGGTATTTTATTTGCAATTATTTTTCTTCGTCTTGCCAGTTTCAGATGCTCTGCCTGCCAATTTATTCTGCAACAATTTACTCTGCAACTTGCCATCCAACCATCTTATCTTGCCCCTCCAACCACCCCTCATAAACTTGCTCAGGCTGGCACTGGCACTGGCACTGGCACCAACTGTGGGCCGCCGACAAACAACCCCGATCAAGGGTTCTTCTTTCACTTCCTTCTTTCACTACCTCACATTTTGGTGGCTTCATCCTTGGCCTATTATTAGGCCACCACTTCTCTCGGCACCATCTCGCAGTCCCTTTGTGCCACCGTCTCGGGTTGGCAAGTGTTTGCGAGCTGCCATAATCCATTATTATATGGCCATGATGCTCTCACAAATTCCCACGGCCCACTGCGACATCCCTGTCAACACGTTGGCAAGCCGTTTACCGCCAGTCTCTTGACCCCCACCCAACCACCCGACTCGATGGCCCTACTTCATTGTCCGCTGTCAACCATTTGTCACTTCGATCCGTCTCGTCATATTCTTCATCATCAGCCACGACAACCCCTCACTTGCCCCCGATGTCCTGCTTCCCGCTCCTGCGCCACGCCAGCCCGTACCGCTCCACCGCCCACACCGACGGAAACGCCACGCCGTGCACCACCGCAATCACCACAAAGCACCACCCAGGCCCCAACCGGCGCAGCATCACGTCCAGCAGCGCCAGCGCCCCCGCCGCCAGTTCGCACCGGAACAGGTTGCATGCCGCCTGCGCCGTCGCCGTCCTGTCCGAGTGGTAGTCGGCCAGAAGCGCGTTGAGCGACTGCGCCTCCGTCGTCAGCTCCGTACCCCCGTTCGGCGTGCGTCGTGATTCGTTCTTGTACTCACCGTGAAGTTGACCTGAGTCGTGAAGCCAATCAGAAATTGCAAAACGAGCGGGACCGCCATGTGCTATTTCAAAAGGTAAGCAGGTAGAGAGGGTGGCCGAGCTCAGTAAGACGTAGACGTACGGCGTGATATTGTAATGCCCATCCGTACCCGACAATACAAGGCACGCAAAGAAGGACGGCGTACTTGGTCACTCCGAGCCTTGCGCGCTCAATCGGAAAGTCTGTCAGGTCGTCTAGCCGGCCCTTGACCAGCGTAATGCCTTGACTTGTAGCCACCCTTGCATACTCCTTGTCTAGAAGTTTGCCTATAGATAGAATGTTGGCACCTCATCAACGCGTACTGAATCACGACTTATCCACATTACCTGCAAAGATTGCCGCAGTCATCGAAGCCACGCCAAAAGGCAAGTACGACAACCCTGCTGCAAGCCCGGACACTCGGTATTGCTCCACAAAGATGGTCGACAATGAAGTCTGCAGACAAGAGTACATGGTGTAAAACAGGCCGTAGCAGAGGATCGACAGTGTTGTCCCGGGGTTCTTGAAAATCATGAATATTTCCAGCGGCGTAATCATCTTTTTCCGAACTGGCTTGGCCGCTTCAGCGGACCCGGCAGACTGGCGTGGCCTCGGTGGTTTCAAACATGGCAGGATGACCTTGTTCGGCCATTTCGTGGGCAGTGTTCCGTCTCCCACCACGTTGCGGCACGTCTCTGGCAAGAAGAAGAGAACGGAGAGGAACACGGTCCCGGACGCCAGGGCCAGGAACCAGAAAATCGTCGGCCAGCTCCATCGAACCAGCAGCAAGCCGCTGATGAGGGGGGCAACACTCTGCGGTGTATTAAGGCTAGGGTCAAGCTTAGCCGCGATATCTCGGTAGACGGTTGAGGAAGGACATCGCTTACAAGATGGACATGAGCCCAATGAATCCGCCTCTATCCGCAGGAGTCGTGACATCGCCGAGCACTCCATACGCGAACGAGAATGTTCCTATTCAGAAAACACGGAGATTAGATCAAATGGAGAGTCCGCTTGCTCGTTTCAGGATGTATGTACCAGAAACTGCGGCCGCCTGCAGCATCCGCAGCCCGAGCAAGACGCCAAAGGACCGCTGCAGCGCCAGCCCGATGTTGACGGCCACGTACGACCCCAGCGCCGCGATGAAGATGGGCCGCCGTCCGTACACGTCCGACAGGCCGGCAATGATGGACGGGAACACGCCCGAGGCAATCAGGTACGACGTCACCGTGAGGTTGATGCGCTCCGTGCTCTGGCGCAGGTCCCGGGCCAGGAACGGGATGGCGGGGAAGAAGATGAAGCTGCTCGCGGTGGAGAACCAGCCGCCGGCGGCGCCGAGGGAGACGATGAGCCGCTTCTGCCACAGCGTAAAGGCGGAATGCGGTCCGACGGACGGCTCCCACGGCTCCAGCATGTCCTGACCTTGAGCATCTCTCTTGCTCTCCTTCGGCTCGAGTCTCCCTTGACACTTTTCCCGAGTTTCTGGCAACCGGCCGTGCTCGACATCACACGCTCCCTCGTCCGCAGATACGGGAATTTGTAGATTTTCTGCATGTTTCGAGGGCTGTTCTGTTGGGTCCATTGTCTCACCGCCCGTTGATAGGCGTTGCTCGAGTCTGAGGACTGACCAAGCGCCTCTGGGCAACGGGAAGACACCGGGGACCAAAAAAAAGGAGCGCTGGAATAGGGTCAGAAAGAAGCGGTTCAAACAAACCAAAACTGAGAACCAAAAAACATGCAAGTCATCCGGGCGTTATGCAAGGTAAAGATTTATTCAATTGTGTGGGAGGTTCTGCAAGGCTCCCAATGTTGGCTGGCAAGGGCAAACAGGGCGCAATACCCCGCAGACATGAGCACAAAGCCGTCACCGTCACATCATCCTTTGTAAAGCGCGCTTTGATTTCATTCTGTTCAAGAAACACGAGAAACGATTTTTGTCACAGTACAGCGAATCGGAGTATGAAGCACATAGTTACGACTTGAGCATCGAGGTTGAGAGTTGAAGCAAAGTACCAAAATTTGAGCAAACTAACAGAAAAGTAATCAAGATTGAAAAAAAGGAAGAAATTTGGATAGCAATTTAGAGTAATTGGACTGAAAAGATGCAATGAAGGCTGTGTAGACATAATTCCTAGGGGAAAGCAAGGAGCAAAGGTCTGGCGCTTTGCAACGTCATCAGTGCTGCAACGATGCCGTCAAGTATTTTTGCGACTAAGGACTATGGCCATACGCTGAGCTTCCCAACCAGAAACCAAAGTTTCTCGTAGAGCGTTGGGTCATCAGCGGAGGTGGTCTCAGATACCTCGGACATAGGTTCTGAGCTCACAGACTCCGCTGTGAAGTGCTCAGCATTTGGGCCGTCAACGTTTTGATCTACTATCGAACGTTTCATATTCGAGGTCAGAGGCGGTTCTTGACCCTGGTACTCAGCGTGTGACAACTTCGAGAACGCCCCGTCGGATACATCGGACGATGAACGGGGCTCTGCCTCATCACTTTTTGTAATTTTAGGCATAGCCATTTGGTCGAGCAGAGTGACGTTGGCTTCGGTCAGTCCAAGAGTACCACCAGAAAGGCAGATAGTATCCTCTGGTGCTGGAGACTCTGCACCAGAAATATCGATAGCCGGAGTAGCGGAAGCAGCGTCCTTTGACGACCAGGGAGGGTCAGCGACAACGCTGGCTGTATCCTCCTCTGACTGTACTGCAAGGTTTGCTTCATCTTTTGGAAGACAGAGACGGTCATCAACGAGATGGACAATTTTTGGGGGTGGTTCCGTCACCAATTCGATTCTCTGCTCGTAAGATTTCTTGGCGTCGGCGATATCGCTGAAGATACCCAGTGTATCGTATATTCCACTGTGGCCATCTCTAATTGATTCATGGTGAGTAGCGCTGGTGCTTGGAGGCAATTCCGGTGGGGTTTCGGCACCATCGTCGTCGTCTCTGCTCGCTCCATGAGCGAGATGCTGCGCGACCAAAGGTGTTTCGGGTGGCGTGCAAATGTCTTGGTTGTTGCCCTTGTCTGTATTTTCAAAACCATATTGAGGCATTGACGGGGTTTCTGGGGGGGTATCAGGCAGCCCGTATGGGACGCCATTGGCATGCTTGGGCTCGAGTTCAGAGGCAGCGCTCTGGCTTTGGCTATGCAAGGGCACACCCTGTTGCTCAGAGGAACTGATATCAATGGCAGCATCAGCGAGAGCGCCATGGTAGGCGCTCTCTTTGGTGTTACTGGCATGTTCGTCTACTCTGGCAATGGTTGGTTCCAAGGACCCTTTGAAACCATCGAGGCCATCGGGGTACTTCTCAAGCAATAGTTTCATATCATCTTTCGCTCTGTGCTAACATAAGTCCTGGTTTCGAAGTGAAAGAGAGGGAAGCTACTTACTTTTCAACGAGTGAAGCCCATTGCGGCCACATGGCGCCAGTCAGCAAGTCGTTGCGTCTGAATGGAATCATTAGCCCCCTCGTTGGAAGAAAGCCGAGAAACGGCAATTTATCGTCTTACACGGAATAAAGCGCGATTCGGTCGTCAAAGTCCTCGCTGGGCTCGGACGCGCCAACTTTCAGTTTATACAAGTCGATGAAATTGCGGCCGATAGTGTATCGAGGGCTTCTCATGGATTGAAAGTCCATCTCGTGGTGCCCGTAGAAACAGCACGGATCAAAAATGACGGGTTGCTGCGTATCAGGGTTGAACTGAATGTTGCCGTCCCAGAGATCACCGTGGCAGAGACTGGGTTTGATGTTTCGGCCACCAGTTTGAAGCGGTCGGAGCAGGCGGGCTGCAACTTTTCCGATGAACTGCTCAGAAATTTCAACAAGTTCGGCATCTTGACCGCGCATGGACTCGACATAAATCAGCACGGATCGAAGCTCTCGAACCCAAAACTCTTCCCAGTTGTCAGTCCAGTCAACAACCATTGGCGGCGGGCCGTAGAATGATGTAACGTGAAACCCAAACTTGCCCGTTGGCGAGACTGATTTTTGATGCAATTGCTTGACAATAGGCAAGAACTGTTCGATGGGAGGGGCTCTATCGCGGAGATGGGCGTATTCTGCCATGAACCAGGATTTGGCTTTCGTTTCGGCAAAATATCCCCAGGCGACCGGTATAACTGCGTTGTCAGGAATGAGCGAGGCAATAGCTTTCTGCCCCTCATACTCTGCTACGGCCATACCGACAAGCTCCTCGCGTTCAATAACCTTTTCTCGTTAGCAAGACAAATATGACAAGAGTTGGGATGCCTATAAACTACCTTGACGAAATAGCTCTTCTCCTCGCCACCATCTTGGACGTCGACCCTGAGGCCGGTAGACCACTATTTCGGCCTGTGTTAGCTTTGACATGTATTCGGCAAGGTTTCAAAGGATGCAGGATTGCTACTTGCGTTTGTGCTGCCATGCTGGGCAACGGATAAGACTTTGCAATTTTTGGGCAAAACTAGAATCCATCAGGCGCGCCGAGCCTTGTGTGGCAGGACAGTCAGTGGACACGCACCTGCAAGGATCGAGCTATCCAGCGCCTCGTAGTCCATTTCGGTGTGCAATGACACAGCAAACTGGTCTGATCGATGAAGGTTTCACAGAAATTGGCAGGACAGAAACCCAATTGCGATGAGGGTGGGAATGAGGGGAAGCCATGCTGCGAGAGACAACCAACTACCCCGGAGCCATTGGGCATGCTCTGCAGGCTCTGCATGCTGCTGACATGTACTGTTTCGCTGGATCGGCCACCTACATAGGTAGTTGGCAGGTAGGTATCAAAGGCGTGGTGCGGGGAAGAGCAGCCAGCATGGCCATGGTTCGCTTTGCGCATGTTTGCCTTGGAAATCAGGTTTGTTTTGTTCCTCGCCGATTGTGAGCGTATGCACTATCGTATGACTACCTGCGAGAGTGAATTTGGAGTTCTATAGAATACCATACGTGTTGACGGACATTCTGGCACGAAATGGCGGTAAGTGCCTCTGGTTTCCAAGGCGCAGAACCGCGCCTCGAGTGGGCATCGCTGTTGCTAATGTACCAGTGCAAACCAATAGGACGCTTCGGTATCCGACACGCCTGTTTCTGGTGCCGACGCACCATCCAACAGATCAGCGACACTCGTATCTTCATCCGGGGGTTACGATAGCTGCAGCAGCGCCGATGATTTCGACTGGAAATCCACCAACACGGCTCGGAAACGCTTCACTGCACCATGGGCGCGACGACGACGGCCGGAGAAGCACGATGCTACCAGGCAGCTGGGCCCTAAAGGCCTTTCTCTCCTCCACAAACCACCAGAGCCTCTTATTGATATTATCTTTGTCCACGGTCTGCGCGGCGGTTCCGTCAAGACATGGCAGAAAGGTGGCGACCCCCAGCGCTTTTGGCCGCAGCTGTGGCTGTCCGTTGAGCCTGGATTCGAGCACGCCAATATTCACTCCTTTGGCTATGATGCCGATATCAAGACAGGAAATGGACTCAATATACACGACTTCGGCAGGGAGCTATTGGAAGAGATGCGGGTATCCCCACACCTGACAGACAATGAAGAGGTATCATGTCCTGTGGCTTCTGCTGCCCCGAGCGCGCCGATTGACACTTTAATAGCGCCCGATTATCATGTTAGGCCACTCGATGGGTGGTCTTGTGATCAAAAAGGTATCCTGTTTTGTCTTACAAGTGGAAAGGGTACATGTCGTACTGACAGCTTCATCGCCAGACTTTTATTCTTGCGCAGGACATACCATCGTGGAAACATAGAATCAGATCGATATTCTTCCTTGCCACACCACACCGCGGCTCAAACTATGCCGCAATACTGAAAAATATCCTGACCGTGTCTGGGGCTGCATCAACTCGTCAATACGTCGGCGACTTGACCACAAGCTCTCAGACATTGAAGCTGATCAACGAGGATTTTGGCAAACGTGCACACGACATTGAGATCTATTCCTTTTTTGAAACGTTAAAGACAAAGATCGGTCCGACTTCAGTATTGATTGTAGACAGAGACTCTGCAGTCTTAGGCAAGTTGGCATCGTCACACAACCCCGGCTTTCGCTAATATCGCCAACGACGTTGCACAGGGAGCGGTTTTCGAAACGAGCGCGTAAAATCTGCCGCGGCTAACCATTGCGACATTAGTAAATTCAAGAACCCCGAGGAGCCAAACTACACCATGGTGAGAAATGCGCTCGCCAGCGCGGCCAAGGATCTGCTCAAGGACAGTATGTGGCATCAGCTCCCAGTCTCTCTCAACAGCACACACTGACCATCCAAAGTACTTGTTTCAAAGGCCGACCAAGCGAGAAGACAGATGAAAACTCTTAAACCGTATCTTGGCGTCAGTGATGTTCCAGACGAACATCACGACACGGTAGAGGGCTCCTGCGAGTGGATCGAAATCCGGGACGACTTTCAAGACTGGCGAGATACTGCAACCCCCCGTCAAAAACCTCCAAGTGAACCACTTGGGGTCGCCTCAAAGCAGATGTCGATATTTTGGGTCCATGCTGGTCCGGGAAGCGGCAAAACTCACCTCGCTTCCTATGTTCAATCGCAGCTCGAAAGCACCACACTCCCATGCACCTGTTATTATTTTCATGTCGGGAACCCGGCTTCACGATCTCTTGCGCATTTTCTGCGGTCGACCGCGTATCAAATGGCTGTAGACAGCACAGCTGTTCGCGACCAACTGTATAAAATGTACCAGGACGGGTCCATCTTTGACATGGATGATGCCTGGACGATATGGACCAAGGTGTTCAAAAAGGGTATCCTGCAAGTACGTTTTTGCCTCGCATGGCCACAACCAAATGTGCTAATCTCTTCAGATTGAATCGGATATACCTTATTATTGGATCATAGACGCTCTAGACGAATGTCCGAAATACGCCGAGCTGTTTACTATGCTAAAAGGTGAAAAGCCACAGTTCCCTCTCCGCATATTTCTTACGAGTCGGCCTATTCGCGACATGCAGCGACTTCAAAAAACACTGCAACCTACAGCGACGGTGTACTCCATTGATATTGATAGGAAGGACAGTCTTGACGACATCCACTGCTACGTGAAGAGCCGCGTCGAAGGGATGGCGCTACCAGACGCATCGAGTATCGAGGAACTCACAAGTACCATCATGCGCAAGTCGAATGCATGCTTCTTATGGGTGAGACTTGTGATGGATGAGCTAGAAGGAGTATTTACGACAGTGAGTAGAATGGATATACTAAACACCATCCCGGAAGGGATGAAGCCATACTATGAGAGGACCATTGAGCCGATTGAGGCAAACACCAGAGAGAAGCACATATCAAAGGCAATATTCACCTGGGTTGTGGCTACGGCGCGAGCATTGGACGTGTCAGAACTGATCGAAGCGCTGCAACATGATATATCAGCCGACGTTCCGCAATCGACTGGCGCTATCGAAGGGCTGTGCGGCCAGCTGGTCACAGTTGGCGCTTCTGGTACAGTGGAATTGATTCACCCGACCGCTCGGGAGTTTCTACTCTCCTCCGCAGGAGAGTTCAACGTATCATTGCCACGAGCCCATGAGCGCATCGCGCTGGTTTGCTTAAAGCTGCTGTCTAGCAGTGAACTGCGACCCCCGCGGACCGCGCGCTCTATACACCAGGACCGCCCGCCGCTGTCGCCGCTGACAGCCTACGCCGCCGAAAACTTTTCGGAGCACATATTTGCGGCCTCGTCAGAGAATGATCAAGTGCTGCTGGCTCTGGACCGCTTCCTCAAGACCAATGTCTTTAGCTGGATCGAGAGAGTGGCCATGACGGGCAACTACCGCAATCTCTTGCGTGTGTGCAAAAACCTCAGAGCATATCTTGATCGGCGAGCGAAATACCACTCCCCTCTGAGCGCCGAGGTGCGAAACATCGATAATTGGGCCACGGACCTGAATCGGCTCGTCACTCAATTTGGCGAGCCGCTCTCGAAGCAGCCGTCCTCGATCTATTTCCTTATTCCGCCCATGTGTCCCACAAACTCTGCGGTAGCCCGCCAATTCGGAAAACGAATTGATGGCTTGTCACTCTCTGGGCACCGAGCGTTGGTATGGGACGATTGCGTCGCAAATATCAGCTTCCGGGAAGACATTGCGGCTGCCGTTGCTTGTGGCGAGAGCGTGTTCGCGGTCGGGATGGAGTCTGGCGTCGTGAACTTGTACAACCAAAGAACCTACCAACACGAGGGCTTGATTCGTCACTCCAACTCAGTGGACCTGGTTCATTTGACGGACAAATTTGTCGTCTCCTGTACCACCAAATCCATCATCCTTCAAGATATGCGAGGCGGCATCATTTGGGAGAATAGACTACGATTCCGCTGTCTCTATCTCACAGCATCGGAAACCCACATCATCGGGATCTCGCAGCATGGGCATCTAATCAAGTGGGACAAAGAGACGGGAGAAATGGTTCAAGACAAAACCTTCAACTACCAAAACTATGACGGGGAGACTATGCACAAATATAACAAGAATCGAGCACCACGAGTGGCAACGATTTCCCCGGACTTTGAGATGGCAGCTCTTGGCTATCGCGGCGGGACTGTGTCAGTTTGGGATACTGTTGACTCGGAACTTCTTGGATGGGCCAGAGATGAGGAGGGACGAGTCGCTGCCAAGCTCATGTTCAACCCAAACCCCAACATCCACCTTCTTCTTGTCATTTATTCGAATCATGGGCTTGCACTATACAACACATCAGCCATTGAACTTGTTCAGTCCCACAAATCACCGAACAATGCTGGGATTCTGTCCACATCCTGTTCCCCAGACGGCCGCAATTTGGCCACTACCGACACACATGGCAACATGAACATTTGGGATTTTGAAACGCTCTCGATACTCTATCATATCCTCTCGCCCTTCCCCTCCTTCAGGATATTGAGTTTCACCTCTGATGGCTCAAGCGTCCTCGACGTTATGGACTCCAGCATGCGAGTCTGGTCCCCGTCTGTGCTTGTGCGCAAGACCTTTGAAGAAGACGCAAGTATCAGTGATGATGCATCGCATTTGCCTGTAACTCAAGGAGAATACGAGCGCCACATGGATATCAAGATAAACGTTGTTGGCGCGCATCCAGAGCTACCATTCATTGTTTACGGGAAAAATAGTGGGAGCCTTGTCGCTTTTGCGCCAAAGGATGGTGCCACCACCGAAGTTTACAGACACACCGGCACGGTCACCAACATCACGATGGCAAGCGACGGAACTATTGCCTCTGCGGATGTGCACAATGTGGTATTTTTACGAAGATACAGACCAAGCATGAAGAGTGAAATTGTCCCCGTGAAAGCAATCGATGGAGCCAAGTTTAATTCTCGAGTAAAACAGCTTTGTTTCAGCTCAGACGGTAAGCTACTTCTAGTATCGACTCTTGAGAAGGATGTCGTCTACCGCTCCCAGGATGGGAGATGCATTGGCACCTTGGATTTTGGGCCCGACGAAAGGAAACTATGGATCTGGGTCTCAACCAGAGATATAGCCTCTGCAGAAGAGCAGTTTTGGCTCATCTCTGACCACAGAGTGAAGCGCTACTCCGCTAGAAAATTTCCATCGCCAACTACGGCGTCAGAAGTGCAGCTCGTTTATGGCCTTGCTGATGGCTGGTCCGAGACTGAGCTTGTGAAAGCAGCCTGGTCATCGAAATCCCAAACACTGGTTATTGAGGCCATGGTGCATCTCAACGCTAATCAATCGTCTGCTTTTTTTGTCTTTGATAGTGCCAGCGCCAAATGGGCCGAAGCGGCAACGGAGGAATGTGGCCTTGACGATATACTGCCACAGGGCTCAAAACACAACCGAGCATTCTTAGGATGGAGCTCCGAAGATAAGAGTTTACTCTTTATGAGCGCAGACTCCTGGGTCTGCAGCCTGTCATTGGCAGAGATGAGCGAAAGGGTCTACAGTCGGCATTTTTATGTGCCCAGACAACTTTGTACTGATTTGGCGCCGACAAAGGCGGCAAATGATGATATTATTCTGTGTAATTCTGGAGAGATTACCTCGGTAAGCAATGGGTTGAGATTTAGATACGCAGATGAATGGTAGTGAGCTAAGTGAGCTATACAAGGGTGGAAAGTATGATGGGAGTAAATTGGCATAAAGGATGCCCTACAGGGCGAATAGGCGAGAGGCACGAACAGAATTTCAGATGACCTACGGTGCTTGCGTCAGGTTTCCATATAATTTCAGTCCTAGAATAAATAAATCCACAGAGCGACAATGGTGATAACTTCAGCAAAGTACCTATCGTTGAAGACTCACCACGTTCCCTCTCTCCCGACTTTGAGTCTGATGTGTGGGCGGACAACGACGAAGCCCAGTACGGCGACGTTGATACGGACGAATACAAGAGAAAATTTCCAGACGCCTTCGAGTGGGATTGCTGTGGCCAGGACGGAACTTCGACGGGCTGCACCAAGGGCCCGCACAGAACAAAGACGAACCAGGATCGTGATGACAAGCGACTGTCCGAGGACAGCGACATGACCATTGAGATTGACTCGGATGAAAACGACGAGTCTGACGAGACGCAAGCCGAATTGGGTCTTGATACGTAGTGAGGGGTACGGTTCCCATAGATTATGCAATCAGAGATATGTTCAGCCCTTCCCCAGCTTCTCCCAAATTCATCTACATGGTTTCTTGGAGGGAGAGAATACTGTATGTTTCGAAGGGACAAATCAACACGAAAAATCACGGACAAGCCGGTGAAATTTCACACTGACTCCATTCTCCCCGCCGCTTTTCCATTTTATTTGAACGCCGAGGAAGCAAACGCGCATCATCTTTTCCTGTACACGAAAATGGACGCCATCGCCAGCCTACCCTACAGCCATCTCCGCGCCATCCTCGTCGCTCTCTGCCACGACCGCTACACGCGCGCCAAAGTCGTCGACATGGCCAACAAGCTGGCCGCCGCGCCGCCCCGGTGCAACGGCCACGACCTGGCGCTCTGCGTCCAGTGCGCGCAGGCTTTTTCCGTCATCTGGCGCTCGGACAACTCGTGTCGCTTCCATCCCGGTAAATTCGAGCAGCGTGGGGGGGAGACTGTTCTGCGTACACGAACGGCATTACTAACACTGGCTGGGCTGCAGGGAGCAGGTTCGCAGACATGGACGACGACACATGGGCAGACTACGGCGGTGAGCCCAAGGACCTGGAGACGGACGAGTACATGGCCGAGTGGCCCGACGCGTTTATTTGGGACTGCTGCGAGGAGCGCGGCAGCGCCGCGGGCTGCCAGACCGGGCCGCATAAATCTCAGTCGTAGCGGATGGAAAACATGCACAGAAGCAACGGGCGGCCACCAAGACGGTTCTTCATAACATGGTATATATAGCATTTACTTTTCCCTGCCGCTAACGCCAGTAGAGAGACCTAATAAAACTACAGAAATCGCAAAGTCGGTCGTTGCTAACAACATAAACTTACCCGGTTCATAACAGCATCGCCAAGGAAACACACAACCGAAAAAAATGTGCATAATGGGAGTAGATTCGTAGCCGCCACGCTTGTAAAAGCGCTGCATCGCAGTTGTTCTCGCACCAAGTATTTGCATTTTGTTGGTCAAAAGCCCCCAGAGCCCGTCAAGAGTTTTCGCTCGATCCAAATTGGTCCACTCATTGTCATTGTCCTACAAAGTAGGGACGCAGAAAAAAAGACGATCTTTCCAATATTAGCCCGCTCAAATCCCTCAGGAAGCCCACTGGATTGGTTTGCTCGTTTGCCGCCCTGAACGGGTAGTCAAGAGTACATCAAAAAGCCATGCAAAGTTCGTTGCTCTCAAAGAAATTCAATAGTCTCGGGAGGAGACTGTTTGCCACAAGCCCTCGGCTACCCCAAGTGTATCATGGAACCCCCAGGTCTATCACTGCCTCGTAGAACGGAAGCATTTTTCTCAAAGCCCACTAGCTCATTCAAACGAGCCACCAACTTGTTTTGAAACGACAGCCCACATAGCCCAACGCCCACTTCAAAGTTCCGACCGTAGAGCCCTTCCCACAATCTGACGATCCCTTTAGTCAAAGGACACCTTGGTGCCAGAGAACCCGCCGCGGCCGCCACCACGGGACGAGTTGAAACCACCACGGCTGCCACCACGACCGCCGCCACGGCCACCGAAGCCGCTACCACCACGGCCACCACCGCGTCCACCGAAACCGCCACGGCCGCCACCACGGCCGCCACCGCGTCCACCGAAACCACCACGGCTGCCATCCTGAGGAGGACGGCTGCCGGCAAAGTCGAGACGGACAGCACGGGCGTTTCTGCCGTTGCCAATAGAGGCACCGTTCTTGGCCTCAAGAGCAGTCTTGGCATCATCAATGGAGTTGAAGGTGACATAACCGAATCCCTTCAGGTTACCAGACTCACTGGACAAGACGATTAGCAAACGTACAAAAACAAGAGAGTTGGGATGTGGATCAACTTACGGGTCGGTAGGGAGGCGAATACTGGCGACCTCAGCAACCTCGCCGAAGAACTCGCGAACAGCGTCCTGCTCAGTGTCGAAGGGCAGGTTGCCAACGAAGAGAGTCTCGCTCTCAGCGCTGAGGGTGTCGCCGTGGCGCGAGGCACGGTCGGCGGCACGGTCCTGGGGCTTAGACTCAGCAGGCTTGGCGTTGGCGTAGTCAAGGTTGAGGGCACGACCATCGACCTCCTGGCCCTGCATAGCCTCGTAGGCCTTGGTAGCAGACTCGGAGTCGGCGAAGTCGACGTAACCGAAACCACGGCTGCGGCCAGTGTTCTTGTCGGTAACGACGCGGGCGTGGACCAGGCCACTGAACGACTTGAAAGCCTCGTACAGAGCATTGTCGTCGACACCCCAGCTAAGGGAGCCAGCGAAGAGGGTGCTGGGGGCGTCGTCAGACTTGGCCTTCTTGGAAGCCTCGTCAACAGTGTCCTCAGCCTTGCGCTTCTTGGAGGGAGCAGCCTCCGTCTTCTCATCATCAGAGTCATCGCTGTCGTCAGAGTCGGAATCCTGCTGCTTGTTAGTATGTGGATGAAAAGTTTTCAGCACAGTGGGTATACGTACACCCTTCTCGGCCTTGGGAGCAGCCTTCTCCTTCTCCTCCTCCTCATCAGAGTCAGAGTCGTCAGAGTCATCCGACGCCTCGGCGGCAGCCTTCTTGCCGTTGGCCTTGGCAGCAGGCTTCTCGTCCGAGGACGAGTCGTCCTCAGAGTCAGATGCCTCAGCAGCCTTGGCCTTCTTACCGTTGGCCGCGGGCTTCTTGGGGGCCTCCTCCTCGGAGGCGTCAGAGTCAGAGTCAGACGCGCTGGCCTCGTCCTCGCTGTCGTCCTCAGACTCAGACTCGGCCTTCTTCTTCTTCTTCTCAATGTTCTTGGCGGAAGCCTTAGCAGTGTCCTTGGTCTTGGTGATGCTGCCGTTCTTGACAGCCTTGGACTCGGCCTTGGAAGGCTTCGCCACCTTGGTCGCAGACTTGGCCATTGTGAATGTGTGTGGTGTGCTTTCTATATGCTAATGAAGGGCAAAGAAAGAAAACCCAGAAAAAAAACTTGGGTAGAGGTGGAAAGATGAGGTGTGAAGAGATGGGAAGAAAACTCAGAACAGCGGACGAGCAGCTTTTTTACCTGGGGTGGTTGGGGGCAGAACCTGAACAATTTTTTTTTCACAAAAAAGAGTGGATCTAATCAAAAGCGGTGAATGCGATAAGAAAGGGACTTCGGTACTTGGGTACTTTCGAGATGTGGTGTAAAACGGATGCCTGACAACTGAGGCGCTGTAATTGGCCAGCGCAGTAAAGCCGCTAGAGGTTTGTGATGTGCTGGGCCGACGAGCAAGACAGCAGCCATTGCTTCATAGTATATCCGTGATTTGTCCCTCAAACCTCGTGATAGCCGCCCGACACCCGGCCGATCCATCAGAGAGAACACCCCTCACATCGCTCAACATGCCGACCCCCGAATCCGACCTCTTCAAGGCTCAAAAGCCCACAGTCGCGCCCACATTCAACGGCGTCGATTTTGACGACACCAAGGCCTTCAAAGCCGCCGAGGATGCCATTATCCGCGAGCAATGGGTCGGCGCCATGATGACCCGACTCATCGGCGAGGAATTGAGCAAATGCTACATCAAGAATGGAAACAACCACCTGGAAAAGTGCGGTGACCTGCGAGGTAAGGTTATCTCTGATGCGACGCCGGATCGAGGATGCTGGGCGAAAGCAGAAGGATACTAATTGAATTTTGATGATGCAGAGAAGTATCTTCAGTCGCTTGCCGCCAACAAGATCAAGGGAACAAAGTTCTTGCAACAAAACTACCTGGAGAAGCAGGATGAGGAGTTGGACATTGCCGCAAAGGTGCACACGTCGGACAAGATCGCCAAGCTGAACCAGGGGCGATTCTCTTCATAATCAAGAAACGAGGTTCGATTGTAATAGAAGCGGAGCGATTGCCAGATTTTATGGCATTTTCCTCGCAGATACAGATGCGCAACTGGTTGGGGTAGCTACGCAATAACTGCGGCGTCCTTGCCGCGACGGCATTCGTATAACTCTGCGAGAGTGTATATATGATAAAGAAATGGAATAGATATTTCAAGACTGATTTCAAATTTGCTTTATTTTTTTTGTAATATAGTAGCTTCAAGTCTGCTGAGGACGTCTGTTGCATGACCTTGCGGAATACTAGCTCCCCAAAGCTACGACGCTGCAGGCTCCCCACGCGACATCTCCAAAATTTCTGAACGTTGTCGACTCCTCCTCCTTATAACCACCACCACCACTTCCACCAGCCATCCCTCCTCTCCACACAGCGCAGCGCTTCCCGCAGTCGCATTCATAATGTTCTGCACGAGGTGTTTGCGTACGGCTGTCGTTCGTCGACAGTTCCCCATCGCTCGCCGCCAATTCTCCGTCGCACCGTTCCTGCGCTCGGCAGAGCCGACGCTCTCGACTCCCACCACAGCCGCAGGCGAGGCCGCTCCTCAAAAGCCCAAGCCTAAATCCAGCTGCCCCGAAGGCACCATCCTCACGGGCCTCAACTTTACCAAGAGCGGCTCCGACCCTGTCGCGAAAAGGGACGAAGAGTACCCAGAGTGGCTGTGGTCCTGCCTCGACGTCACCAAGAAGAGCGCCGAGGGCGACGAGGACGCCGCCGGTGATGAGTTTTGTACGTTTAGCAGGCTATCAAATTTTGCATCATGCAGAATGTTATCCCTTGTTTAAATTTTTACTGACTCGTATTCCCTTACAGCCAAATCCAAGAAGCAACGACGGCTAGCGGCCAAGCGCCAGAAGGCTACCGAAGCCGAGATGCTCGCCTCTGGCAACCTCGAAGCTCTTCAGCCTAAAATTCCTCTCCCGCAACAGTCGATTAATATCCAGGGCGAAGAGAATGGCACCGTTGCCGACAACCTCGCCGCGGCCGAGAAGCGCCAGGAGCTCAAGCTGGCCATGCGGAAGGAGAGAAAGGCCAAGATCAAGGAGTCCAACTACCTCAAGTCCATGTAAAGGAGAGGGGCCAACTCTCTTGGCTATTGTATGAGCTCTGTGTATACTATCATATCGGCGATTTACGTTGTGTATTGTTGTAAAATAGATGAGAAAGCACCAATTCATTCCCGCGTTCGCTCATGCGCGACTGCAAAGATGCGTCGTCACAATAGTAATTCTTTCGTATCAGCTCAAATAGGTCATCCAAATGTACAACAGTGGAAGTTTAATTAACAAATAACTAGAAAGCGCTCAAATCTAGTGGAACACTGCTTCCTCTGCCTGCCCTGTACCTACGGCTGGCTCGAGAAAAGCCTCTGGGCTTGGGAAGTTGGTCATCTTCCTTGAAGTGCCACCTCGGGTCGTTGATGATAATGCGACCTCCGCCACCAAGACTTGGGCTTGGTGAATGGAACGAGGTCCGCGAGTTTGGCGTGGCGGTTGGCGAGGGCGACCCGTTCATCGACAGCGTGTAGGCGCTAGGATCCAGCATGGATTGACGGAGAGATGAGCCACGGCTGCGAGACTGCGGAGGGGGGGGGGTGGCGGTGGTGAAAGCATAGAAGGCGGTGACGGCGCAGCACCGGGCGGAGGAGGGGGAGGGGGGGGGAGGCGCTGTTGTGGGCGATGATCGTCCAGAGGGTCGGTTCACCGCAGATGCAAGCGAAGACACGGAGCTCGTCGGCGGTGGAGGGGGTGGAGGTGGCTGTAATCGAGGAGCAGCGGCTGGCAACGGAGGTGCGCTTGCAGGCGGCGGCGGAGGAGGCGCGCCTGGCGCAAATGATGCAGGACGAGGTGGAGGCGGCGCTGGTGCTCCCGATGGAGGGGGTGGTGGAGGCGCAGGAGAAAAGGGAAGTGTCGGCTTCAGGGCTGGTTTTCGGGATGTTGGTAGCGCCGGCGGCTTCTTTCCTATGGGCGGCGGCGGTCCCCTTCCACTTGTCTTTCTAAGACCACCAGGACCAGGCACAACCAAAGACGGCCTTCCTGGGATCGTAGGAGCACCGCTAGACGGCGGTCTTGGTGCAGCAGCTGGCGGTCTGGGTGCAGAAAATTTCGACTCGCCAGGATCTGACAAGTATGATGACTCTGTTTCTCGTCCCGTGTCCACGCCGCCACCTCTCTTCTTCAGCTTGGGCATGCCGCCCGCAAACAGGCCACCGAGCTGCGGCGCCGCAGATGGTAACCCAGCAGAGGCTGCCCCCGTACCCTGATCACTGTTGCTCCTTGCGCGGTTTCCAGAAACGGGCGGTGCCAGGCCGGGAACGGGCGGCGCGCCTCCTACTGGTGGCCCGGATGACGATGCGCCACCACCAGCAGCGACGATAGGGCCGGAGCGATCGTTCGTAACAGCCTTTTTGAGAGCCCTGCCTTTGCTGATATCGGCGAGAAGAGCACCCTACCGCATAGAGTTAGCAGATCGGCCAAAGAAGCGGTATAATAGGCGCCTTTCAACATACGCGACCTGGCGGAGGCCGTCCGGGGAGGCCGCCTGGTGCACCTCCAGGAGGGGGTGGAGGAGGAGGAGGAGGGCCGCCGGCGCCCGGAGGCGGAGGCGGAGGCGGCGGAGGAGGAGGCCCCGGCATGATATGCTGTGAAGCTCTATCGTAACCTCTATACACCGAAGCAGCACCAGTCGTGGACAGAGGCAAGTCGAGGTGGTCGTCGAAAAGCTATCCGTTGACTAGAGTTGACAGGAGGGTGCTGCTCAGGGAGCTCGGGGTATGTTGACAGTCCGCGGGAGCCAAAACTATGTGCTGAATGGCTTGATCAGCTACTGATGTTGCATGCAAGAGCCGAGTTTGATTTGTACGCGCCTCGCGTGAGATGCTTTGGTTTCGTCATTGGCGTTACGCTGGGCCACGCAAGAGCCGCCCAAGACAGTGGCTTGGCTGCCTGCCCCACCTCAACTGGTACTTTGCGCTGGTGTACCGGCGACCCGAATGCGACATCTTGGTCAATACATTTAAATGCAACATATGGATCAATTAACCTCGCGCAATTTTTATTTTATTTGAAGATTTGCATTATATTTATTAGGAGAAGTCAATACCATATTCTACTGCCAACAGATTGCCCGTGCGCTTAGCCGTAGAGTCATCATAATTATCCGAATTACACTGCCACACTACTATTATATGAGAATGCAGCCAATTTGGCACTCACAACATGGCGAGTTAAATTATTATTGACAGAGTGCTGCTGTACCTGGTACCTATGAAATCTTCGGCGTCACAGCTGGAGGCTTGTAGGCTACCTACGCAATACCTACAGGTACCTAGTTTCATACGTCTGGTTGCTGGTGGCGAAAATAACACAGTCCTGCACCGTCCTGCATACCCCTCGTGTACAGTATGTGCCTCTGCAACGAGTTATACTCAAAGATGCTATTTCTTGCATATTGGTGGGTTGGTAGGATCTTGCAAGAGGGAGCACGATCGCTGCGTGGACGGATTATTGGACTTGGTGTGGTTCCTGAAAGTAACTTGTAGTTTGCCCAGGCTCTACTAGCAAAGCCAAGTACCCCTCCTGAGTCACGTGCATCTGTCTGGCTGCAAAAAGTTGCTGTCTGGATGACAACACTTTTTTACCCAGATAGACAGGCTCAAGATAGCTTCGAACCTCGGGGACAAAGATCAGAATATCCACTGGGTCTCGCATAACCCACCACCGCAACAAAAATGCGCTCTGCGCCGACTCGCGCTGTGGGCAGCTTCGTCTGCCGGTCCTGCGCTGTGCTCCCGCGCGGCCGCCCGCTCATCATCTCCAGCAGTCGACATGCAACGAAACCACCAATCTGGCGAACGACCGGCGTTCGCTGGTCCGGCAGCGCCCCCACCGCCTCCGCCGCTGCCGTCTTACCAGATGCCAGCATGAACCAGAGAGACGCCGCGCCCGGGCCTGGCACCAAAGTCCAGCGCATCACGGACCCGACCGAGCTCGCCGCCCTCGCCGAGGACAGCAGCAAAAAGTTCCAGTCGGTCGACGGCATACCGGCCAAGGCGCTGACGGCCGCGGCGCTGCAGTCGTGCCTGCGCGCCGCCACCGCCATGCACCCGCAGCTGAAGCGCGCCGAGTCGCAGGGCAAGGCGTCGACGGCGCGGCTCGCCTCGCTCAACGGCGAGCGCACCGGCTCCAAGCTGGCCATGGACACGCGCATCGCCGATGCGACGAACCGCATCTCCCGTGCCGCATGGAGCATCATCAGCAGCCCCGACGTCGAGATGACGCCCGACTTCCTCGAGACGTACGTGCGCATCCAGCACCAGCTCGGCCGCCCCGAGTCGCTGCCGGCCGTCTTTGCGCTCTACGCCACCAAGAGCAGGCCCGTGGTGGAGAATGGCATCGTCGCGTACCGCCGCACGAACCCCAATGCCGCCTCGCGCGCCGTGGAGACGGCCGTGGTCAACATGGCGCTGCAGACGGCCATTGACGCCAAGAACCTGGACGCCTCGCTCGGCATCATCGAGGCCGGCTTCTGCGTCCCGGCGTTCAAGCGGGCCAAACTCATCAAGCACGGTACGGCGCCCGCCATTGGTCTCTTGACGCTGCCCTTTGGCATCATCGGCCTGTCTACGGCGTACGCTGCCTACTGGCAGAACACCATGGATGTGACGACCGCCACGGCGATTGGCGCCGCCGGCATCTCTGGCTATCTCTTTGTGGTCGGTTCGCTGGGCGTCATTGCAAAGCTCAGCCACAAGGATCAGATGAAGCGTGTTACCTGGACACCTGGTACGCCGCTGCGCTATCGCTGGATGCGCGAGGAAGAGCGCGCTGCCCTGGACAAGGTGGCTCTTGCTTGGGGCTTCAAGGAACCTTGGAGACATGGTGAGGAGATGGGCGCCGACTGGGAGGGCCTTCGGGAGTACATGGGCTACCGCCAGATGATCCTCGACCGTGTCGAGTTCATGGACGGCATGAGCTAGCTTAATCGGTCGCCTACTAGCATGAAACTCTTATATGTACTATCATCATACTGTATATAGGCTGTGGACAATAATTGCCTACTTGTTCTCATCATAGCAATCATGAAGGCCAGGATTAGGTTGTAAACGCTTTTTTTAAATTTTATAAATAATTTGTGGCTAGGTGTGGCTTAGACACTGGCATCGGCGCCCTTATAGCGCTTTATATAGCGTGACTGAATTTTCTGTCTTGCCTCTATACTAAATTGAAGCTATTATAAATATTACCTCTATTATGAGTGATGGCAGCGCTGCCTTAATGCCTCTATTGTGAGTGGCGGCGGTGGCGATGCCTCTATTGCGAGTAACGGCAGCGCTGCCTTAATGCTTTTATCGTGGCAGCAATGCCTTTATGCCTTTATTGTAAGCGGCGGCGGCGGCGATGCCTTCATTACGGGTAATGGTGGCAATGACAAGTGATGGTAGTGATAAAGTGGGCGTTATTAAAAACTAGGTGCTTTATCGCGATAGAGGTATTAAGGCATTACTGCCGCCGCTACTCGCGATAAAGATATCGCAGCCGCTGCCGCTCGCGATGGAGGCATTAAGGCAGTGCTGCCGTCACTCGCGATAGAGGCATTAAGGTAGCGCTGCCGTCACTCGCGATAGAGGCATTAGGGCATCGCCGCCATTACTCGCGATAGAGGCATCAGGGCATTGCCGCCATCACTCGCGATAGAGGCATTAGGGTATTGCCGCCATCACTCGCGATAGAGGCATTAGGGCATCGCCGCTATTACTTGCGATAGAGGCATTAGAGCCTTTATTAATGAAGATAATACTTGATTGTACGTAACTGCCTTACAAATTTGGAGGCGCGCCGGTAGCGGCGCGTGAAGTGGGCTTAGCCACAAATTATTTGTAAAATTTGAAAAAAGCGTTTACAACCTAACTCTGGCCATCATGAAATATAAACCATCAATGTCTTGTTTTTCTCATAACAGCTGTTGTGCGGTTCCCCGTCCTTGTGTGTACAAAGGAGTGCCATGATACCATCCGTGCATATGAAGCCCTGACGATCTACTTTTCATTTCCCGACTACAATAGTCTTTCGAGGTATCCCTTGTTACCTACCCCAAACTCCGTACGCCGTGAACACAACAAAAATACAGTAAACGGAAATCAAATCCTCCAGGAATGCGATTTCGATACTTTGTCTCCGAGAAATCCTGGGTATTCTGACTGTCCGGGTTTGGATTATGCTCACAGTTCAAACAGCAACTCCCCGGGTAGTATTGGGTCGCCCTTCCTCAGCCTTGGGCAATTTACCCTCATAAGATACCTCGTACTGGGTGGTCTTGCGGATGTTGCCGCCAGCGTCTTCTGGAATATGAACTTTTTGATATGGCGACAGGATATATTCCTCGCTGGATTCGTCGTGATGATGCACAGAGCTGTGGCTTATGCCCGCGATCTCGCTCGGGCCAGTGTAAGGTGCCCACTCGCCATTGCGAGAGCGAAGGCGTCGATGGCCGATAGTCATTGTTGGATCGAAAGAGCCAGACGGTGGTGGGTACTTATGCGTAGAGGGAACGGTGGTGGAACCAAAGAGACCAGGAAGCATCCATCCCAGAACCATGCGACACATGGGTAGACATGCGCAAATGATTGCGACATTCATCTCAATCATGGTCCAGAGTGTAGATAAGATATCGTCTATAGAGTCAACTGTTAATATAGCCAAGGTGAAATATGGGACGCATAACTCACATGTTACATCGGGAGAAGTAATGGAAAAATTGAGGGTCGTCGCGCGCAGGATCGATGTGACGGTAACACTAGGTGATTCACGTTTAGCTTCTCTACCAGCCATCAGTGAATCAGATATACACACAAGCCACCTAGAGCAAACACAAGCATAAGAGCTCGTTTCTGGTTCATGGGGAGCTTGCTGGCCCACATAGGTTGCATGGGAAGGCAGAGAATCAAGACATCCGTGGCAATGGCGAAGCCGGCATTGGCGTACCAATTCTTGATCATGCTGATGCAACTGCCATTTAGGGACTTGTCCCAAGCAAAAGGTATCGGTGTGCATTGCCAGATAGACGACGCCATGGTGGCGATACAGTAGGCCGTTACGATGCAGATGAGGGTGTTGCAGCAATATTGGAACCACTGTTGAACAAAGATTCGACGATAGAGCAGGAGAATCGAGGCTTTGGTGAGGTTTATGGTGAGTTTGTAAAATATTTGAGCAATGTAAAACATCTGTCTTTGTGTTAGTGGAGGGCCAGTTTGTGCAAAGGCCCAAGAAAGCGTACCTGCAGGGCCTTGAGCCTATCGGGTCTCGACAGCGACTTGACGTGCTTTCCGAAGCCAGCATCCACGGATACCATCATAAAAATCATGACAGTAAGGGTGCAGAACTGAGCCAGAAACGTCAGCCAGGCAAGTTACGAATAGGAGTTATCATCTTACGTAGGACACAATAATGGTTCCATCGTCCCAGCCGAGACCGGTCCTCCTTGAGATGCGGTTGTATAATCGAATACCCAAAAATATGGGCGTGACTGCAAAGAAGACGATGCAAGGAATCCGCACATAGTCAGCATGGCTGGCCGCCGTTTGACTTTCGAGGACAGCCATTGCGACAAGACGAGCACCAGTAAGCTGGCGGTGTTGGCCATAAAGTTCGAAGATTGAAGGGTTCAAACGAGGTGTACGTATGTACGGGCACAGAGTCTAAGGAAAGACATAGTGTCGGATGGAGGTACCGGGGAGGAGATATTATAATATCTATGGACAAGATTGTCCCAAGCCTGAACGTAAACGTAAACGGGGTAGGGCGGCGAACACATCGATGAGCCGCGGTACATGGCCTAGTCAACATATCCCAACCACCACCACCTCACCACGGCTTGGAGAGAGTTGATCGAGCTAGGCAATGGCGGCGGGAACGTCATGGATTCCCATTCTATCGTTATCGTTTGAGTACCAAACCATGCGAGGCACGCAGCAGACCGCACTCGGTCAGAGCCCTGTGTGAAGCAATTTACTTGCAGTAAGATGGCGTGCGCCTTTCTCGTTTCAGACTCGCATATGTATTCTTCGCATATAATTTGATAAAAAAAATCAAAATAATACGTTGCAGAATTTTACGCCACACGGGTGATTGTTGCAGAAATGAGCTGGAAAAAGGGTCCATTGCCAGTTTGGGTAGGTGGTTAGACGCACCCTAGTTCTTATTAGTCTCGAGTGTAATAGTATATCCAGTTACCAGCACAGGACAAACGATTACATCTTCATTGATTTTCTCGGTTGATGTCCACAGAAAACAAAGGTAAAAGTGACGAGTGCTTTCCCCTTACCCTGGGACACTGTCCTATGCAGCAGCACGTGGCGGAGTTGTTAACCGCTAGCCATGTTTCGTTGAAGGAAGGAAGCTAGGGTGATCGGTCGGGCCAGCATACACAGACGACATGTCAGTCGCGGATAAGGATAATAAGTTGACGTAATTGAGACGACTTTTCTGCGGCCTCCAATCTCCAATCCCCGTCATGTGGAAGGTGTGGCTGCGATAGTTTACAGTACGGACCTTGCTAGCCACTCACTAGACTGGGACTCTAGTCTGGTGCGGCGATTATTGATGGGACGAAGAGGCTGCGAATAGTCTCGATTCGCTTGGCCAAGCAAGGGACCACTATGGCGATGGTAATGTTTAGGTTGAAATGCAAATATTTGTCGAGGCGGCGGGCTGGTGTTTGTCAGCTGCCAGCTGTGAGCTGTGAGCTGCCAGCTGCCAGTTACTCGGCCGTGCACAGGTGGCAGTGGCTTTCCATTGGCCGTTTACCAACTTGCATCCTTCCTCATCAATCACGATTTCTTTTCCGTAGACTCGGAAATGAAATGAAGACAATGCATGCTCATATTCGATGCTGCTATGTGGTGTTTATGCTGATACCAAGTTCCGACAGCTCTTGACCCACAATCTCAAAGACAGCATTTCCCTCAGCTCAGCAAAGGCGCACCTATTACTGGGTCTATTCCCAACGGCATGACCATCCCGTTGTTCCGTCGGGGCCAATTTCCATCAACAGCTAGGAATTTGTGGAATCCTTCGGTCTTGCTATTGGCATCAGCTCTATGATATGGCCCTCCCTCATCAGTCTACATACCTTGACGCCGCCGCCTCGTGGCACCAGCCCCATGCCCGACGCGAATAACGAATAACGGAGGCTGGTTGTAACCCCGGCCGACTGGCAAAGTAACGCAGCTGCACATGGCAAGCTACGACACTTGAAGCTACTCTGCTCATTCACCTCCTTGGCATCAGTTCGTAAAATTATGAGGCTGGTTTATCCACCTTCTTGCATCGGTCTCTTGTGCCTAGTGCCAAAGAGGAGTCCACCGGACATCCCATTTGAATAACCACGCTGCTCACCACTTTCAATTCAGGGCACCTGCATGCATCTTGGCACCTGCGTTACGGATACAGGTACTTCTTGATTCGGAAGCTTTGCTTTGCCATCGCCTTACAACTGCTTGAAACTCTTGCTTGGGCGATTACAACAACCTCACCTTTCTGGCACCAGGCGCAGCTCTGTCAAGGCAACGCTCCAGCCTCACGATGCGCTTCTCTCTCACCCGGCTTATGGCCTCTGGCCTGCTCTGCGCTGGCCTCGTCTCTGCCCAGACTGGCGGCTCAATTGCCAATGGCCCCTTTGACGAAGATCTCAACGGCTCCAACTTCACCTACCCGCATCCAGTGAAGCTTTTCCGCTTCCACAACCAGCTCCAGGACCTGGAGATGGCCTTTATGGACGTCCCTCCCTCTTGCAAACCCAACGGCAAGACTGCCGTCGTGTTGCACGGCAAGAACTTTTGCGGTCCTACCTGGGGTGCCACAATCAAGGTCCTGACCAGGATGGGCTACCGCGTCATTGCCCCGGATCAAGTTGGCTTCTGCAAGAGTAGTAAGCCCAAAGGCTACCAGTTCAGCACCAACCAGCTGGCCAAGAACACGCAAGCGCTACTCGCGACTCTCGGAATCAACAAGATTACTCTGATTGGCCACTCGCTTGGTGGCATGCTCTCGATCCGATTTGGCCTGCAATATCCCGGCATGATTGACAAGCTCGTTCTCGTCGACCCGGTCGGTCTCGAGGACTACGTGGAAAAGGGTGTCCCCTATATCGCTCTCGACGACAGCTACAAGTCCGAGTCGGCTCAGAACTACAATTCCATCAGAGGCTACGAGCAAGACGTGTACTACGTCGGCCAGTGGAAGAGTGACTACGACACGTGGGTCAACATGCTGGTCAACATTTACAACGGCTCCAAGCGCGAGCAGTATGTCGCCAACCAGGCGCAAATTGTCGACATGGTGCTGACCTCGCCCGTTGCCCACTATTTCGGTGACCTCACGCCTGAGACTCTCCTCATTGTCGGCGACAAGGACAAGACTGCCATCGGATCCCAGTGGAGCCCTCCTGATGTCGCGGCCAAGCTCGGTCACTTTGACGTTCTGGGACCTCAGGTCGCTTCTCAGCTTCCCAACGGCCGGCCGCACCGGTTTCAGGATCTTGGTCATGCCCCCCAGCTGTCTGACCCTTCGGCTTTCCATGCCGTCGTGGTCGACTTTCTTCGGTCGTAGAGGAAGGGAATGAAGTGATATTGACGTTTTTAGTATATATGTTGTATATTTAATAGCTGTGCTGTCCTCTTTTGGACGCGCTGCGATGCAGCGACATACCAAAAGTCGCATATATCTGCATTTGTGCCGGATTGAGTAGCTACTTGCAAAATTGTCCACTACGGGCGGTTTTGTTATGGCCACAAATGACAGCTTATATAGATAATTTATTCTTTTTTCACGCGCAAGTACCGCCCATCTAACAAAGTCGTCCTGAATGAGTATATTGCAAGTCCGCCCTTCTAGCCACGCTTGGCCACAGCCTCCAAGAGCGTCTCCGCCGCCAACTTGCCCAGCGCGTTCGACGCCAGCGGCGAGTCGCCCGTCAGCAGCAGCCGATCCCTGTGCACGCGTCCGGTGATGCCCTCGTTCAGCGTCTTGACGCCTCGCTTGCGCAGCGCCTCGCCAACCAGCCACTGCATCTTGCCCGGGATGTACCCAATGTCAATATTCGTGCCCTGGTCTAGCGCGTCCGGGAACGCAACGACCTCGTAGCCATCATACAGAAACCTGCTGCCGGCCGGCGCGCCGACCTCGGCCGCCAGCAGCGCCGCCGGCCCGTGGCACAGCGTGACGACGTACCGGTCCTGCGCGTGCGCCCACCGCAGCACGTCCCCGACCAGCCTAGACCGGGGGATGTCGTTGAGAACGCCGTGGCCGCCGGGGACGAAGACGGCCAAGTACGGCGTGCTGGCGTCGAAGCCGCCGTTGCTGCTGCTGCCCTCCCAGAGCGCCTCCAGGCTGAGGGGTGCGCGGAGCTTTTCCTCGTACTTTTTGTAAATCTGGGTCACGGCCTCGTCGCGGGAGGGAAACGCCCAGACTTCCAACTTGACGGGCCCGCCGGAGGGCGTGGCCACGTCGACGTCGAAGCCGGCGGCGTCGAGGTGCAGAAGCGGCAGCAGCAGCTCGACCGGGTGGTTGCCGGTGGAGAAGAAGCGGCCGTCGGCCATGGGCAGGTACCGCTCCTGGGTGCCGATGAGGAGAACCTTCCAGCGGCCGCCCGTGTAGGGGCGGGGGGACGAGGTGCCGGCAAAGTCGGTGGTGGCCGGGACGTACTGGGTCAGGGAGTAGGGCGAGGGGAACCAGGCGTTGATCTCGGCCGTGTCGGCGACGGGGGCGCGGTCGTTGGACATGATTTGCGTTGGGGAGGGCGGTAGAAAGATGGAATTGGTCTTGATGTGTGTGTGTGTGCGCGTGTAGGTTTGGATGAGGGGATGAGAGTCTCGGTGACGAGGGAAGCTGCTCTTTTTATAGTTTGGGATGGGCGACGGTGGACCACAAAGGGGATGAATTTCAATCTTCTTTTCGATTCTCTGGCCGCTGATTAAACAAATAGTCTCCGACAGCCTCATTCTCTTCGAGCTTTGCCAGCGACGATCGGCTTGGCCTCCGTCACTCCATGCATGAATTAGCTGTTGCACGACCGCGTTCAATCAGGCTGAAAACCTTATATTCTTCCCACATCGACTGGTACCCCGCTATCATGCAAACAGCCTGTAGTTACTGGAGGGTTCGGAGCCAGTCAACCACTGGGACCTCAGAGACCGGATCGACCCCGCCATTTCGGGGTTAGCTTCCGTCGGAGTTGATCTCCATCGGCGACGCTTCCGCCGGAGCAGCCCCGCTCGCCGCCGTACCAACAATGTGATCCAACCCTTGTTCACCAGAGAGAATATTCTAGATTCTGCACGGTCCTGACTCGTCGGCATCTTGCTTCTTCTCTTGCATTTTCTGCTTAGATATTGGGTGGTCAAGAAGTTCACGATTTGGCGTCCGTGGGAGATCCGTGATTGCAAGTGGAGTGGAGTGGTAGCGTGCGACCATTCAAATCGCAAGATCACATGTTCAAGTTGTAGAGACGACTGGTATTATTGAGGAAAGAGATATTCGTCTTCGTCCTGCACCCAGAGCCACATCTGGCCGGCATCAGCCAGACCAGAGTCCATCAACACTGAAAGACTGCCGTCCCAGTCAAGTCCGTCCATGGTGGCAGCAGCTGTACTCGTGTCCTGTTCGGGGATGAAGGTTGAAGTGTCTCGGGCAGTTTCGTTTTGAGATATGTTAGCCTCTGGCTGATTAATCTGAGTGAATTCTATATACCCATTAGCATCATTTCGGGGTTGTTATTTATTTAATCTCGTTGGGCATTAATTTACCAGTTGGCGCACGACTGACTGTAGCAGTAGTGTTGCTCAGCAAGGCCACATCTCCCAAACTGCTGTTATCAACAGGGAAAGTAGCTACCCCGCTACCAGTAATGAGTTGGTTCTCATGCTGTAGCACGACAGCAACAAGACGCTCCAGAACAGCAATGCTCTGTCTGGAGCCGACATTCTGCGGATCCGCCGAATCTTTACAAGCCCGAATAATGTGCATGACGCCGCCCTTTGCTCTCTGGCTCGTCTCGGACAGCGGCTGCGACAAGCAGACGATGCAGAGCACTATACCTGCGGTGAAGAGCGTGATGCCAATATGCATACTGGAATGTGTCCGGCGCATCGCGTGCAGTGCGTTGGGGAACCGATGTAGCTCTGCTGTGCGCAGCGCCGCGTCCACAAGATGGCCAAGCGAAAACAGCCCCTCTGGCGTGGTTTCGACCTTGCTCCCTTGCCCAAAGGCAACGGTGCGGTGAAGGACAATTTGCAGGTTGTCATACGTCAGCTGCAGCGCAATTGCCTGCATCTGCGGTATTGCGAGGTCCTGGCCAGGCGATGCGTCTGTGTAGGATTCAATGCGCAGCTGGCGCGGGAGCTGGCTTCTCCAGTCCGTCAGCGCTTCGTGAATGGACTGCACTGTGACTGTTGGGTTCCGTTGTTTGCGGCGCCCTAAGAACTGGCCCACGATTCGATATAAGCGGAATTTCCATTGGTGAAACTGCAAGGGTGTGTCGACGTTGCCATCGCTCTGCGCAGGCGTGACCTGAGATATCATACCCACGTTGCAGTCCGAATCATCCACTATACAGGGGCGACCAAACGCAACGGCAAAATATCTAGTGAATGGTTAAAATGGACAGCCAGGGTGAGATAACGTTGGAGGAGTTCTTACTTGTCAAATACTTCGAGCGTCCACCATGTTCGGCGTCTTGCCTCGCTTTCGACCGCTGAACAGTCTTTCCAGAGGTTCTCGCGGTGAAGGTTGATGACTTGCGCAATCTTGACACCAGCCGCGGATATCGCTAGACCGACGTTGGGACGGCCGTTAAAAAGCAAAAAGCTTCCGAGGAGGACGGATATTTGGACCGCCTCCAGCGTTGCGCATCCCATAAACTGGAGGAACTTGGCTTCTAAATGACCGATGATGTCTGTAGATAGCTTCTTGAGCTCTTTTACGGACTGGCTGGAGCCCTCCGCGAGGGAGCTGTAGTGAGCACCCAGTGCAATCACAAGCATGGTGAGCCCGAGGAAGTTTTCCTCGTGGTAGGCGACGTGGCTTGATTGGAGGAGCCGCGAGTACCTTTCTCGAAAGAGAGACTCCTCAAACATCTAGGGCAGATGTGAGCACTTTGAACTTGGAAGGGACAATACACAACACGTACCATCAAGAACCAGTCCACCGTGACAAAATACTTGTCAACAAGCCGTCCCAGGACAGCGTCGTCAGGCAGCTGCAAGCCAACAATCTGACGCCAATGACGACGGCCTAGAGACTCCCAATTGAGAATCTTGTTTCCTCCCGGCAAAGCAGAAGTGTCCTGATGGAACGCAGAGTCAAGACTCATTTTTGACAGCACCTGGTGGTACGATTAGCTTTGGCGAGTAGCTACGCGCGGAGAGAAGCGCATAGTACCAATGCAGTCAAATCAACGATGCTGGATTCCGGAAGCACCAAATCAGCACCTTGGGGCGCGGCATTAGCTCTGGAACTCTGCGGCGCGGGCTGAGCGGATGTGGACGGGACTGGGTGGTGAGCGTCTCCGTGCCGCGGAACGCACTCTGCACCGGCGCGCACGCAGAGCTGGCATGGGCGCTCGCGGTCACACTGCATATGTATCAGCTTTGTGATCGGAGGTATACGCTTCGGAACCAACCAGACGGGGCAGCACATACACCCAACTTGCGCTTTCGACAGCGCTCACATGCCGAAGCTACTTTTTGGCGCTTACGAGCGGCGTTCATACCGGGCAGGGAGATGGCTGCGGTGAATTCTATTTCTTCCGATGTGAAATTTTCTACATAGAAGCCGTCATGCTTAGTGCCGTCCTGAGCGTGAGCATCTCTGTCACTCTGTCGATTGTTGCATTGGGTGAGTTGTCTTTAACTCTTCAACTCTCTTAATGGACTCCACTTGTCCAGTTGCGGTTGGTATCGGGTGTGAGAGCAGCGGCAGTGATGTCTTGCTGTACAGCAATGCGCTGTGTAAATTGATTTCAAATTTCGTGCATATTTCAAAGTCAGGCTCACTGTTAAAAATGAGCTTTCCCAGTCGAATTGTCACCAGATCACCTCTGATGCCCTGTTATGTATCGAAAATACTGATACGCACTAACGTTAACTAGTTCCATGTCGCGGGGATTGTATAACCGGCACCTGATCATGAGCCGTTTTTGGGCTGCCCTGCAAGGCAAATAGACAGGGCGTGGGCATGAAACAGATGGCTTTGGCAATCGCCAGCCAGTCAGCCGCCCCTTCATCTGCTGAGAGGGTACAATCGCATAAATGACAATTAGGCGTGAACTGAAAGGGCCAACTGCGGGTTGCGGGTTGCGGGGGAACGTTGACGTCCAGCCGACCAGTCTCGAAGAATGGAATCAGATAACCGCAAAACTTCTATTTTTGAGAGACGTGGCTTCCTGGTGCAACAATGGCTTGAAACCAAAATACACGTCAGTCGACTTAGGAGGGATGGAATCAACTGGCCAGCGATGCAGGCTTTTTTGGGCAGCGGCTAAGCTGGTCAGACCAGCGGGACGGAGCGGACCTCGTCAGACTAGTTATCAATAGAGACCAGCATAAAAGTGTCTGTAGATGCTAGATGGGGACATTGAATCGCGGTAATAAAAGACGTTAGAGACGGCTTTGTTTAGAGGCCGTGGTAGCTTTGGTCCGGTTCGTACGTGTGGCGGTCTGTTGTGTGTGGGCGACGCAGAGCCAGTCGTTTGCGCGCAGGCGAGGCTCTGAAACGGTCCTGCAACCACGAACTCCGTTAAGGGGTCTCCCCGCGGGGCGGGCTCGACATGATCGCGGCGGGTTGCGGCTCGGAGAGGAGGGGAGAGACGGAGTGTTGTGATGGAATGGTTGGATGGTAAAGTTAGGCCCTCGGACCTGTTTCTGTCTGCAATCGGCGCGAAAGTGAAGGGGCGGGCGGGCCCTGTATCAGAGACGGGAGCAGAAAGAGGCCAACTTTGCGTCCGTGTGTTTGTATATGTACGGAGTACGGAGTACCTAGTCATGGATTCCAACTCAATTCCAACGTGGCACCGCAGTCAGTATCTACATGCAGCCAAATGAATAAGTGTTTGGAGGGGGGAGGCGGCCCAGAAACGAGACCCAGGTGAAGGGAAGGGGACGAGGGGGAATTGTTTGCGGGCGCTTGAGACGGGGGCATGTAGTTCGACAGCTGGGGGCGGCCGAGGATAAAGATGATGTGACTGCCGTGAATATAGATGTGAAATCTCCCACTAACTAACGATACTTTTTCTCTCTCCCACTCTTTTCTTTTGTCGGTTGATTTGAGTTTCTTCTTGGTCGGCCGTATCGCCTGTTATAGGCGCCATACAAAATCTTGAGACCGATATCACGTCGCATCACGCTCGCATTGTCGGCTACTCATACACCACCGAACGCCGAACTCGACCAGCGACTCTGAACCACTTGTCCTGGCTCAAATTCAGCGACACGAGAATCCTACGACTTTGGTGAGCAGCTCGGGTGAGCCTACCAAACGAACCGAGGGCGAAGCAACAAAGCTCCGTTTGCTGCAGGTTTTGGCAAGGTTGTTTCTCGTTTCCGCTTCATCCCAAGTCGACAGAATCCGCTCGCGCTCGTTTCCTCGCAGGGCCGGCCCCCAAAACGCACAGCACCGAGACGGGCAAGAAATCGACAGAGTGGTGTCGCGTGGCGTGCCCCTGCGTCATCTTGGGAGTGGGTAGAGTTGTTTAGTTGAAAACAAGTGGCTCCAGGGGGGAAAACGGTTGAGGAACGTTTGGAGGGCTGTTGTCAGTGCAGCGTCAGGTACACAGGGCGTTTGCGGTGCATTCACAGGCGTTTACAGGGCATTCACACCGTTTACAGGGCAGGTATGTGGGACCGTCAGAGAGACTGCGCGGCCGGCCCAGGCAGCTCTCGAGGCACAGGCACAGACAGGGCTGCTGCTAGCGACTCCGTTAGTGGCTCTGTTAGCGGTCCGCACCATTCTTCAGTGCCCACATCGCTCTTTAGCTCCCGCCGTCGCCCTGCTACTGCTGCTGCTGTTGCCTCGTGGAAAGCGGCCTCTGCTAATAATAACTTTCGCCTCGTTCGCCGCAATTCCAACCCCAAGGCATACTCGCTCTCATCTTCCCGCTCACGCTCCCAGCTCGACCTCGACTTTGACATTGATCATCCCCTCAGTGCCTTTGGCATCACCACAGACGTTACGCACAAATATCGCATCCTCAACGGCAAAACCGTTCCCCAGTCTCTTTACCCAGAAGAGTAAGTCATCGTCGCACCAAGTACCAAGTACAACCAACCGTTACCATGACCATAACCTCACCTGGACGGCCACCTCGGCTTGCGCGCGCCAAATCCCATCGTCCCGTGAAACATGCAAACCTCATGTCCACCATATTTCGGACCCCCGCCTGATCCCACAGACATCCATCCCACAGCGTCTGCCTGGGCCGGGCCCAGCGCAAGCCTCGTCACCATCACAGCCACGAATGCCCACCCGCCCAGTGTCACCACCAACCACCAACCCACTGCCCGCTCTCCGCTAACATGATTCTTTTCTTTCGCACAACAGCTCATATACCTCCCGCCGCGCCTATCCCACCAGTCCTCCATCCTCTCCGGACCTGAAGCCTCCCCCTCGCAACCCTCGCCGTCTCCAGCAGCGTCGCTACCAGACTGCCTTTGCTCCCGTTCGCTCTCGGACATCCTCTCTCTACAGCGCCGACGACAGCGATCCCGGCCACGACGCCTCGTCCAGCACCATCTGCCGCGGTCCGGACGCCCTCGCAATGGCGCAACCGTTGGCTGTCGAACCAGTCTCCCCTCCCAGCTCACCAGAGATCGCCGCCTGGCGCGCAGCGTGAGTGCAAACAAGTTGACGCAGCAGTGCGGGTCCCATCACCACTAACACGCGTCTTCAGCCCGCACGCTGGAAATGTTTCGCCTATCGACGAGGACTCGGACGCCTCGCTTGACCATTATGTACGGGCCATTAAAGGAAACCCGCGAGGACCAGCGCTACCTGCCGATGGTCTGCGCTACAGCCAGATTCACGTCGCTCAGCGCGACCTTCCGCCGGCGCCTCGTCAGGGACACTTTCGCGCCCAGGGCATAGACCAAGCACCCGCATACCAGCAACCGCCGGCACAAAGAAAGCCCGTAACTGACGAAAACGTGTCCTGGCGCCCTCAGTCACAGCCACAAAGGAATGCAGCTGGTAATGCAGCTGGTGGTTTGGTACATAAACCGCCCCAGCACGCCATGATTCCCGAGCGAGACTCTTCCTTTGGTTTGCGTTCAAAACAGGCCGGTAGACACGCCATGCCACTCGATGTCAGACCGCCATGGCACGGTGCCAGTGGTCGCGAGAAACAATTGAGTGCGCTACGAGACGATTCAAACGTTGCGCCGCTTTCTCTACCGACCAAGACTGGCAAACGAACCGCCGCCAAGGGCGACAGCCGCTTCCGCGCTCGACTCTCCCACATCGGAAGCCCCCCCGCGGAGGGAGCCAGCGGCCCTGGTGCGGCCATGCGCAAACTCATCTCTTCGAGAGCGCACAAAAATGTTAGCAGTCTTGCCACGCAGTCTCCTCGCGACCAGTTCAACATGGATGCCGACCAACACGTCTCTAACCCATATCCTTCTCCACCCTACCAGGAACAGAACAAAATGACATCGGCAACACCCCAGCCGCAGCATACTATCAGACGCAAGCCACCGCCGGGCGCACATATCGATCGGAATAGCAACCATGCACATCCTCTAGCCTCTAGCCCTGTCAACGACAATGAACTCCCGAAACCGCCTACACCTGAGAGCCCGACTGCCCCGCACCGCGCGCGGGGCGACGCTTTGACGCAACCCGGTTCACGATTCAGTACGACAACTTACGCCACAACCATAGGTGGCGTGACCTCTATTGAAAACTCCCCCGCTATCGGTATTGGGCCACCGAGCTTGCCTAGGTTTATCTCGGGAGGACCAGTGGCTAGGAACGAACACATGCGCTCCGTCTCGGATGCCCCCTCTGCTATGCGAAGTGCCATGGCTTCCAGACCCGATTCTTCTGCCTCGAATGGGACGGCGCGTACCTCCGGGGTCTTTGCACCTGAGCGCGGCGCTGCCACGCCGCGGCGAGCCTCGCTCTCGTCTGTGGACAAGCCGCTGCCACCGGCACCGCCCGAGGTTTTGGCCCACCACAAAAACGACAAGCTTGCCCATCTCACGGCGCAGCTCGATGGTTTGCGCAACCGACGACTCAACATTAAACGATGCGTCGAGCAAATGACAGTCCTCATCCCCATGGACAACCTCCTCGACAGCGATGAGGTGCAGAAGAAGCGAGGATCGGAACGGAAAAAGGTGGATGCCCTCCGAGCCGAGTTGGATCAAGTGCAACAGGAAGAACACGAAGTCGGTCTGAGACTCCACCGCGCCTACAAGCGGGAGGACAAGAATGCAGTGTATGAACCGACGACTCTATGGGTCAGGCGCGTCGCTGGCTAGAATGCGTTGAACAAGTCCATGAATTGGTGGAGTCCCTTTTGTATATTGTTATAGAGTACTGTTTTACGGGCCGGCGATACCCACGGATGCATGATTTTTTTTTTGTTTGGTGTTTGGGAGAGCAACGCGCCGCTGGCTGGCCGAGTGCGGCATCAAAAATGGATTACAGGCCCAGGAGGGACACGACATCGCTGGCGAGAGTGGTCGTGCCCTGGCTAAGTAGCAAATGAAGAAATGATACCACGAGCCCGTACGCGCACAGCAACGGCAACATGACGGTGAGACCCAGCGTGAAGGAGAGAAAGTGAAGCGTAAACAGGCACACCCAGATCAGCTGCCGCGCGCTACTCCGTACCACGGCCGCGCCCATCGCCATGCCCCTCGCAAGCTCCCCGCGGAGGTTGACCACGCGCCGCCGCGGCCAATTGGTGCACAGTGCGTGGCGGGCGTGCGGCGCTTCGGCCGCCAATAAACGTATGCACCAGATGATGCATGTCCATGCTACCTTGGCCGCCCACCACGCTCTCGGCCACAGCCAAGCACACGCCGCGCGCAGGTCCGCCCCCCAACGCCAGCCAACGCCGGCCGCGGCCCCGCCCGCCCACCCCGCCAGCGCGACCCACCGCCGGGCGAGCGCCGGTACGCGACGAAGACGAAGCACCATGGCCGCAAGGCAAAACAGCAGCCCGTCGGTCGCTCTTCGTCGTGCTTTGGCGGTGTGCTGCGTGCAGTGCCAAAGTTTGGCCCTGAGGTTGTGTGATGTGCGGAGGATGATGGGGGTGGCGCTGCGGATGGTCGCCACGACGGCGACGACGAGCATGGTGAGCGCCACGTGCGGCCAGCGAGGCAGCAGGTCGGGACGGGCGCGGAAGAGCAGCGCGCAGAGCAGGATCTGGAGACAGGCGCGCTGCGGCGATTGCGGGATAAGGCTGAGGGTGGTCATGGTCAGATGGGCAAGGTGGTGTAGTAGCTCGGGGGGTTGGTAACGTTGCTTTTGGGAAGATGTTGATTCTGGCCATTTATTCGAGAAATAAGGTCTTGATTAACCATCTTTGACCTTGCAGTCCCGTTCTTTGATTTCTTTTGCTCTTTGTCTGTTTAACAGAGCTTGGGACAAGGGTTTGGTGCGGTCAAAGGGACAACTGGCGAGCCGCAAAGGACTGCTCGTGCGACAGCACGGCCGAGATTAGGTTTCATGTGGAAAGAATACCAAGGGTTTCAATGAACAAGATAAACTACGGATGGACCTTTTGCCAACTTCAGAATCTCTGAATGTAGTCGTATGGTGCTAAGCCCCTTGTCTGTTGCAATGAAAAGCCCCCCTCAGTTCTGGGAATACTATCGACGAAAAAATATTCGGCACCCAAGGCCTGGATCGGCTTTGGCATGAATATCGGAGAATTTGGGCTTTGTTCTGGTGGCGCGTGCTAACCACGGCCAGCAATCATGACACTTGTTGTCAATGCAGGTGTGAATTGCCCGACACTAGTTAGTCAACCCCCTACATAACTTGTTAGCCTACTAGACCGATATTAAGCACCATTTTCTTCTTAGTATGCATTTGTCACTTTCTAGTTTGTCATGGGTTTTTGTCAAGAGAAAAGAGAAAACGTCTCAACGGCTTTGTTGTCTTTGCTGTTGTTGTAGCAAAACGTTGAGTACATCAACACAAACCGAAAACGAAAGCACCCTGCTTCCCAACCGCTCTTGTAGTAAGAATATGCAATATCTTTGCTAGCAGATAGCTTGAGACGACTCAGACTTGCTCTGACCGACGGCCCGGCCGTACGTACCCGGCGCCCGCCACCAAATCGCCGGTTCCCTTCTTGGCATCTCCAAAACACCATTACGCCGCGGAAACTGTTCCGAGCCGTTGATTTCCTCTGCCATCATTCTATTCCGTCCTGTTTATTGCCCGCTCTACCCGCCCGCCGCAGCGGACTTGCCTGCCGATCGGTAGCAAAGGAGCTTCCCGAAACGGAAACCAGGGGGGGTTCGCTGATCTGGAGACCAACTTATAATACTATCGTGTCAAGACAATTCCAAGATAGGAGGCCGGCATCGAATTCTTAGTACGGAACCACGGTAATAGGACGCCCCGCTGTGCTAAGACAACAGTGGTGGCAAGCGAAAGTGATCATCAGCTGCTGCTGCCTTGTTTGTCTCTTCAAAGTAAAACGTGCTTATTTGACGTGAAACATGCTCTTAAGCCCATGAATAACTGGAAAGCCGGCCAGAGTTTCTCATCAAGAAGGATGAAAATTGTTTCCATCGCTCAAGACGTGCTCAGCAACTCGAATAATCCGATCCGATCCCGCCACCGCCAAGTCTCCATCGCCCGTGTGGCGGCCGTGGGGGACATCTCTTGGCTTCTCTTGGCGGCCGGCAGACAGCAAAAAAGTCCACTTGTGCGCGCTGCAAGCAGGTACGGAATCGTGGAGAAGATGGATACCGAGACTGAATGGTCCTCTACCCGTACACGGTCTACCTTCCGCTAAGGGCAGGTGGGCTTGAAGCCGGCAACAAGTTAGCGATCGGCGCCGGTCAACATGAAGCCGAACCACGGACTGTAAGCAACCCATATCCAACAAGGAAGGCCCCTTTCTGGTTTGCCGTGCCGCCGCTCCGGCTCTGTCGCCTTTCCCAGCCTAGATCGATTCGGGCAGGTCACGCAAAGAAAACGATATGCTATTCTTGTCGCAAAGACCGTCGCCCAGTCTCCGTACAATAATTTGTACTCAACCCCGGTTCGTTGGCGCGACAAGGAATCCCCGTTGACCATGCTACGCTGACCAGGGGGAAGGTTCTCAAGTATAAATAACATGTCCGTCGCTCACTCCAAATCCTCAGCGACTCTCTCAACAACCCTCTTCATCCTCCGTACATACACAGACATATCATCATCATCATCATGAAGACCGCCGCTGTGGTCGCTCTCCTCTCCGCCTCCGGCGGCGCCGTCGCCGGCGCCGTCGGCCCCCAGACGTACCGCAACGTCCCCGTCGGCGGGCCGCTGCACAAAAAGGTCGGCTCCTTTGCCGGGCAGCAGGTCAACTCGCCCTGGGGCGGCGGCGTGCAAGAGGGCCGCGGCTGGACCTTTGTCACCGGCACGACCAAGATTCCCTCCATCACCGGGCAGAACAGCTACGCCGGCACTGCAGCCTGGGTCGGCATCGACGGTTGCGGCCCCCCCCCCCCCCCCCCTCTCCCGTTCCTCCCCTTCCGTCCTCCTATACTAAACCACATCCCACAACACAACAGGCTACAGCTGCCAGTCCGCCATCCTCCAGACCGGCGTGCAGGCCCACGGCGACGGCACCGTCCGCGCCTGGTACGAGTGGTACCCGGAGGCGCCCGTCTACTACGACGACCAGTTCCCGGTGCAGTCGGGCGACGTCATCCGCATGTCGGTCAACGCCACGTCGGCCACGTCGGGCACGTCGACGCTCGAGAACCTCACGTCCGGCCGCAGCGTCACCACCCCGTACGACAACATGAGCGAGAGCCTCTGCGGCAGCGACGCCGAATGGATCCTCGAGTTCGGCGGCGACTCCCAGACGTTTGCCGACTTTGGCGAGTGGGACTTTTACGACACGCAGGCCACCTCGGCCCAGGGCACCGTCAGCGCCGACGGCAGCACCATCACCAATGTCAAGATTGACGGCCAGACGCTCACCAACTGCCGCGCTGACAGCCAGGGTGTCGAGTGCGCGTACAGCGGCTAGAGTGACCTCACAATCAAGCAAGATGACGTATATATGGCAACGACATAAAGTACATACAAATTGAACAGTACCTTCAGCACTTGGTTGTACCGTGTCCGTTCCATTCGCCATGTTGAGTCTTGAACATCCCAACGGTCGTGTAATGGCACGGGACAGTAAGGTTTTCCAATGTAGCAACGAATATGACGATTGACCGAGGCGAGGCTTGGTGTGCTTAATAAGCTGCACAAGTAATTGGCAATTTTGTCATCTTCGCTAATTGAACAAATCGTGGTTTATTACATGATTAAGCAAAGAGGTATCCATCCCACCCAGAACGCCAAATATCAACATGGTAACAAACATTGCCCACTTACTGTTTCCTTCCACAGGAACAGACAACCTCGAAAGTAAGGAGACTAATATATAGAAAAACAAAGAAAAACGCCCCGTGGTTCTATTCCCTCTCATGATCTCGTTTCCATTCGCTAGAGTTGCAATTTCCCAAAACAGGAGGCACATAAACATCCATCATATCCCTTGGTTCTCATTCAACTTTTCAGTCGTTTTGCTGTACCTTCAACGACGTCGTCATCTTCGCCTACCTCCATCTCGTCTGCCCCTCGCTTCGCATCCACCTCCGACGTCAGGAGCTGCTGCTCATCATGCAGCGCGCACAAGTCGAGCCTCGCCTCGCCGTCCGCCAGCGGCTCGAGGTATTCGGGCGGAATGGCCGTTGGTAGATGACAGTGCGCAGCGCACGGCTTATACGTGGCGGTGCTCCAATCAGCATCTGCATAATTCTTAGCCTCGGCGAGCGTGTACCCCGTGCTGTAGCCCTCGTGGTACGCGTCGGGGAGTATGACGATCGTCTCGCCCGGCCGCTGGTCGACGAGGCGGTAGGGGATGCCCAGCTGGTCCAGCTTCTCAGGGAAGAAGAACTCGGCGCGATGCCGCATGAACTGGGAGCAGCCACCGTCGCCGCGGCCCAGGGCCTTCTCGGCCACGTCAATGGCGGTGCAGGGCACTACGATCCAAATCTTGCGGCCGCAGTAGAGGTGGTTGAGGGACAGTAGGCGGTAGTCCTCGGCGTGGATCTGAAAGGTGGCGCCAAAGTGCGGTGCCGACTCGTAGACATACGGGGTGTGTATACCAGGAATCACGGCCTTGGTGCGGTCCAGCAAGTCGCCGCGGAGCGGGTGGATGGGGCTCCAGTCCGGGGGCACGCCGGCCGCGCAGCGCTGCTCCGTGTTCCACGCAGGCACGTCAGGGCGGTACCGCACGTGGCGCATCTGGCGACCCATGTTTTTGCGGAATATTGTCTTGAGCGTCTTGAGCGTAGCCTCGACCGACTCGGTCGGCGCCGCGTCCACGTCGTCCACGGCGGGGGGGTTGTAGAACTCGCCCTCGGCCCGGACCGTGCTCAGTTGCCAGAACGTCGTGCGGCGAATCTGCTTGGCTTTGTAGGCATTGGCGGGCAGCGTCTGCCGCGCCTTGGGCGGCAGCGGACGGCGCAGGTCGGCAGGCAGCTGGAGCTTGAAGCAGCCGTCCTCGTGCGCGCCCAGCTTGCGCGCAAAGGCCAGTAGCGCAGGGAAGTTGTCCCACTGCGCCGCTGTGGGTTTGAGGCGTATCAGGCGGTGGCCCGAGGGCTCGTCGTAGTCGTAGTCAAACTCTTGGGCGTCACCGACATCGCTGGGCGGCGTCGGGGGAGCGCAGGCGTCCTCGCGTGGTTGCAGTGGCGATGAGAACTCAGAGCGTTCAAAGCCCACGTCGGTAGTGGTGGTGGTGGCCGAATTGGGAGGCTGCAACGTCATTGTAGGGGAAGGCGGGGGAGGAGGAGTCGCCAGTCTAGCGTCGGCCACGCTTTCTGTAGCGAGCAGAGAATCGTGTTTTTCGTCTTCTTCGTCTTCTTCGTCAGTGTCGGTTCCTGCGACCACGTTGCCGAGCATATCTTCTGCGGAAGGTGCGATGGTGTCGCTCGCGATCATGCTGGTACCCTTGCTCGACGTCGTACCAGCAACAGGCTCGTCTTGTTCTGCTATCGCCGTTGCACTGTCGGTCGCGGTCGCTGATAGCAACCAGCTCGGTGCATCCATCATGGGGTATTCTACCAGGTTGACAGTATCGTCGTCATCGTCATCGTCGTCGGCGTAAGCCTGAGCGAACGCGATGGGCCGCGCAACCGGCCACTCCATGATTGCGGCCGCCATTGTAAGTGGAATCTGCGTCCGCTGTTTCTTGGATCGGGAGGCAGGATTCTGTGTACGGGGTTCCAAATTGAGACCCGAGGATCGCGCGTGCTGGGCCACGGACCAGCCTCTGCAAAGGAGCCGGGCGTGGGAGACAAGAAGGAAAAAAAGTCGGTGACCGAAGTCGTGGGCGGCAAAGTCAATTGAGACCAGGCTGTGCGGTCTGGCCGGCGCTTCGCAGAACCTAGGGTGGTGGTGGGTGGGTGTGGTGGTTTGAATGGGCGTTTGAATGGTGTTTCGACGAGATGGTTAGAGAATCTGGGAGCAGCGAGGATGAGGAAGAATAGAAATGCAGAAAATGGTCGAGAAAATGGTCAAATTCTCAACCAGACACCGTCGCAGACACCGTCAAAGTTTGACATTGGCCGGCGGGCGGGCGCATGGTCAGGTCATGGCGAAAGTGTCGAGCGAACGAGTTACTATAGTTAGGTGGTAGGTACAAGGTAGGTACAGAGTTAGTCGCCACAGCCACAGCACCAAGAAGCCAATTCGCTTGTATTCAAGCCACCTCTCAAAATGGTGGGGCTTGCGGTGGGGCTCGCGGTGGCTAGGCCGTAGCCTCGTCTTGTCCGCCTCGCCTTCTTGACTCGGTCAGTCCATACACAAGAGTCACTCTCATCTCACTCAGCTCCAGTACACCATTACCTCTGCAAATCATCAAAAGGACTGCCATTTTAGAGATTCAAAATAGCATATCGAAGAGCAACAAGCCGTCCGCTCAATTCAACAAGGTCTAGGCGAGTCGGCCGCAAGACACACACCTCGCAGCCGCCTCTGTCCCAAAAAAAAAACAACTCCTCGAAGTAATGATACATACAAAAATAGTCTCGTGTGCAAATCAGCCCCCCAAGGCTCTCTCACGCTTCGGGATGCAGCTTGATATAAAAAAAAACGCCGGCCCCAGGTCCTTCTATCCCATCACATCGTCCGCGGTGGCCCTTCCAGTGTTCCTGTCGTTGCATGCAAATGTCATAAGGCAATTTTCAACCTGGCTTCTCCAAAAATTATGACTCCCGCCCGCGGCTCTGCCATCCCAGGCTAAACGAAGAAAAAACGTAATAATTCCAGCAGTTCGGGGTCCGGCTGTTTCGTTCCCGGAACCCGTGGGGTATCAACAACGCGCGTCTCATCCTTCATCAACAGTATGCGAATGCTGCAGCAACCTTGTTCAGCTTAGTACCCAATGTACGCTTTGTAGCCGTCGTCACGACCGTTGCTGCCATTTCCGTAGCCATTCGCCAGGCCGTGGCCGCCGTTGGCGCCGTTTCGTCCATACGGGTCTATCGATTCTCGCGGCGAATTTATCGGGCTATACGCAGACGACTCCGCGCTCGCCCGCATGCCACTTAGTCCCTGAAATGCCGGCGGTGCTGGTAATGAGTTTTGCGAAGATCCTGCATGTGATGTGCTGCGGGGTGAAAAGAAGCCGGCTGAATCCACTGGCGTGACCGATCCATCATCGTCGTCTTCGAGCTCACCCGCCGGCGTCGGTCGAATCTTGCAAACACGAAGTAGCTCGACAATGGCCACCGTAAGATGGGACGCCGCGGCATCTACCAGTGATACCGGCGAGATGCCCGCCCCGGCAGCAAAGTGTTTGGTGGCTGTGATAAGATTGTTGGCCGTTGCAGAAACTTTGGCCTTGATCTTGCCCTGCTGCTGCGCTAGTTGCTCGTCGTGTCGCGCCCCGTCGTCGGCGTCCCTCGTAATTCGCCGCACGCTCACCACGACGGCCTTCATTGCGTCAATCGTCCTTTCCGGGTTGTCTCTGCGCGCCGACTGGAGCAGTTCATCGATTGCAATCTGGTACTTGGTGACGTGGACGTCCTTGACAAGACCATTGTCGTCGCTGAACCCGTTTTCTCGAATTATGCGTGCGCCTTCGTTGTCCTGGGAAAGGCCGAGCGACGAGGCGCGCAGGCTGCGGAGCTGTGTCTTAGTGCGGGCATACCGATTTCGCCATTCCTTCACTTCTCCCTCGAGCGCTTCGACGTTGCGCTCCAGCTCTACTTGCTTTTCGAAGCGGGCGTGGCTTTGCTCGGAGAGCGTGCGCATCTCGCGGAGGAACTCCTGTGCCTCTTGACGGACCTCTTCCGTGACTCGTTGTTGTCGATTAAGCGAGTTGCGTAGCTCCTCATTCTCCATTTCCAAGACCCCACTGTCGCGTATGCTTCCAGAGTTCCGCTCCATCTCGGCCAATCTCGATTGCAAATCGCTCGTTTCCCGGGCGTGATCATCCTGTAGTCTGCTCAGTTCCTGCTTCATTGAACTGTTTCTGCTTTCGGCCTCGGCTAGCTTGTTGGCCCACTCCTGGGTTTCTCTCGAGCTTTCGTCCCGTTTCTGGGTTTCCATGACTGCAAACTTTTCCCGTAGCTCCTTGAGTTGCGCTTCGTAGTCGTCAATAAGCTTCCTGTCAACCTAGGAGTTGGCATGTTAGCATGGGATTGGTCGATATAGCAGGCATTCATCACAGCATGGCTTACTTCTGGTGAGCCCTCTCCGTCGTCATCTTCCTCGAGCATGGTACTCTTGTTGGGTATTATCGTATTATTTTGATTGAGGTGCTTGGGCATGGGTCGATTGTAGTCGCCGTTGCTCAGTCCCGGAGAAGGAGGAACCCCATAAGGGTCTGGGGGTGGAGGACCGCCTCTCATCGAACTTGCGTCTGACGGACGTCTGGCGCGACTCTGACCTCTAGGAGGAAACCCGCCGTTGACGGGTGTGCCTGTGCGGCCACCGCTGCGGTTGGACATGGCGCTGTTCCCACGGGGTATGTCACCGCCCACGAACCGGGGGAATCGGCGTTCAAGCTCGGAAAAGACATCGGCGGCCAAGTCTCGGAAGCGGGGGGGTCCGAGAGAAGAGAGTCGCTGACGGGCCTGGTTTCGTTTGGGGTGAAAGGCCTTTTCGGGGAGTAGAAAGGTAGGCGGGCGTTTGGGAGCATTCGGGGGGGTGCGAGCAGTGGCTTGCCTGCGCATCAGCTCGTCAAAGACGTCGGTACTCAGCTCGTAGAACTGCACAGAGGAGAGTCGCAGGAGCTTATCGCGCGCCTTGTTAGGTTGCTGCTTTGCGGCCGAGTCGCGCGAGTTGAGAAAGACGCGGAGGGTCAGGTAGTGCTCGTGGAGGACGCCCTCATCAATGTCGCTGGCCCTTTGCTGGCCACCGAGGCCGCCAGGGCCGCCGTTGGGAAGACCAGCATCGCTTCTAGCGTACATGTTGGTACCGCCGGACGAGCGGCCGATCGAGGGGGGCGGAGAAGGGCCACCAGTGCTTCTGGGAGCTCCAGGAAAGCCGTTGATGTTCATGTTGCCGTTGGAGCCGCCCGAATTGGGAGGCGAGGCGAGGTTGCCGCGATTGTTGGAATAAGGACCGTCGGGACCGGGAGGATATTTCGGCGTGGACCACTCGTTTCCACCTACAGATATCGGAGAGAGCGGCGCATTGCGACCAAGGGCGCTCATGATCGTGAGGGGGGGGAATGCGGCGGTAGTGTTTGGAAGAGAAAGGAAAAAGGGCCGTGGTGGGTGTCTTGGTTGATTCCAGGAGTCAAACAGGCGGCAGGCACGCTGGCCAGGGTAACCTGGGGGTGACTTGTAGCGGCCTTGTCTTTTGGGGGCTTCGGGCTTGTCCAGCCCTGTCTCTCAGGCTTGTTCGGCCCTGTCTTGGGGGCGTTTAGCTGCTGTCGTTAGTGGGTCAATCAAGTTCCCACAGTGAGCGGCTCCCCTGTCTAGCGGTCGGGGGGCTTGAGGCTCTAAACCTCGGACGGGTGCTCAGATCAGTGGCGACGGCAGGTATTTCGACCTGACTGGGAATTGAATGCCGGTATCTGTAATTTGCAATTTGTACAGATTACCAGTATTGATAGAGACCGGAAGAGTCCGCAACTTGGTAGCCTGCGCTGCGCTAATGAGTGCCTGGCTGCTGCGTCGATAGGGGCACCAGGTATTGCAATACTCGATGCCAGCAAGTAATAGTCGGCGTATTGGAGACAGGCAACGGTCCTGCTGACGGCGAGAGCACCTGATAAAAAAACGCCACAGTACTGGCAGGTACTGGTAGACTGACACTGACAATCTAGTTATGCTCTGTATGTTGCAGAGACAGCCTCACGAGACCCGTTACTCGGAAAGGTGACGGAACGGTCACGGAAAGCTCACGATGACCACGATGGTCTTGGTCGAGGCTTACCCGCAGTACTGACACAAAAGCCAAGACCGAAAGTCTGTCGTCGAGCAAGCAAGACAAGACAATGCGGCACGCGGGGCAGATGGGGATCGATCAAGTAGGAGCGGCGCGCTCTGTGCTTGCACACAAGAATGTCGTTTGCCTGCTATTTTTTCCCTCTTTGTGCATACAAGGCCGGCTCTGCGGCGTGGATTTTGAAACAGGGCGACGCCGGTGCCGCAAGGGGGCGCGTGTGGACTGGCGGTAGTGGTATGTGTTGTGGATTTTTGCTGTCAAGCAAGGATAGATATCGGCGCGGAAGGAGTGAAAATAAATCAACATGAAGCTCGGGAAATGAGCGGCTGGTGTGATTTCTGTGATTTCTGAGCGCCCGGGGGAGGACCAGGCCCGGGGGAGGAGATTTTTTAAGGAGATTTTTAGATGATGTAGCGATAGTGGGTGTCAGTTATTTTCGGGGAGGGCGTGTGATGGGCTGAGTGAGCAGTAAGAATGGGCACGGCAAGTACAAATTACTCCGTACATAACAAACCATCTACATACCTACCGAACAAAATGAAGAACTGTTCCAATGGGGGAAGACGGTGTCTGGTGAAGAAAGCTGAAATGCAGTGCCATCAAGCTAGTCAGTACCGGTGCAACTGACTAACGAATCAATCCAATGACAGCGACAGGAGGAAGGGGAATGTCTGGGGGCGTGTGGTGGGCATCGCATGATCAGAGTTGGGACGTAACGAGATGGCAGTTTGATTTTGCTGACTACTAGCTAGTTATTTGAATCTAGTTATTTCCATCAACAAGTCGCTGGTAACCGAGCATTCCCTGCATTGTTCTCTGTATCCTTGTCCAGCTGCAACCTGGATCCCCATCGCAGGCAACAATACAAGGTTGCCGACAGCCGCCAGTTACCAGCATCTTGCGCAATGTCTTTCACCCACAACTTGTATAATTCCCTACGGGGAAAGCCATTCGTCGGCTGTATCTGTATCCGGCACTTGCTACACCATGAGATGGCCGCACCAACAACCACAACCAACCTCTCCATGTACTTACTGTACTGTACCAAGTAAGTGCACACCCAACCCACTCCCTTCAACACCACACACCCAATATTAGTACCATTTAACTTACCCCTGGTGCCTCGTGCCTTATCCCCTGAACTAGCCCAGTCGAGTCCTGCCCTGCCTCACCCTGATTTGCCCACCCAACCCACGCTAAAACTAGCGGTTAACCTCTCCTCCGAGATGCGCCCTGGGTTGCGGCGTCTTGGTCCTCTGAACCCTCTCCCTTCTCTCTCCTTGGCCTTGCCTCCATTTCAGGTGCCAGTCTGCCAGTCTTTGCTGGTTGATTAGCATTCAATGGATGGGTTCAACTACACTGGTGGTGTGGAACCCCCCCAAATCTAGCCCTTTCTCTTCATCATCACGACATCACCATATCCCTGGCAAGTCTCCATCTCTGGTGGCCATGGAGTGTGTTCCCTTGCTCTCGTCCGTCTACCAATACCTGCAACTGCCGGTGAACAAATTCCGATGCTCTATTTTTACTATTAATAGTGTCTTGGTCATCCGAACGTCAACAACATAGTCAACCCACCCTCCTCTCTCGTAATTAGAACAGTATATCCGTACAAAGTAGAATGACGGGGATCAGCACAGGGTCAATAGCCGACTTGCGTTTTTGTTTATCAACTTTTGTTTCTTGCTCGGATGTATCTGGCCAATTACCCTCGGCCTTGAACCTTTTGCCGCTTCTCCTATTGCCTTTGAGCTACCGATGTTTCGTTCTGCCCATTATTCGACACAAACATAAAACAGTCTATAAATGCCTCCCAGCAAACAGCTGCTTATAAAGTCACTGCGGTGAGCTGACAGTGTACTCATGCGTCCTTCCACTGAAACCTCGCTCGGAAACAAACGTCTTTATTTCCATATCTAAACATGTCCTCAAAGTAAGTCTTGCATTATGCCTAGGCGGCCGGAATAGCCGTTGCCCAAAGTTTCTGTCGGCATGCTCGCATTGCTGTCCATCTACTCGTAGCCCTATCCTTTGCTTCCTGGTCTATAGTAAAAGTGTACTCCGCATAAGACTGGCACATGCTTCAGTAGCCCTGCAACCTCGTCTTCGGTAGCTTCGAAGAAGGCAAAATGAGAAAAACTTGTCGCAGAACCTTGCAGTCATTCAAAACGTTGCCAAGACAAGCCCCATGTAGCGAATATACCCTCATAAAATGTACTCGCCGGCCTCGGCTGGGTATGTCGTAGGTGACGGTGGAACCAAGAAAGCGGTCTTTGGAACCCTTGCTTGCGAAACATGTCTCGAATCCTTCCTTCCTTGTCGTTCTTCTGATCCTGGCCGAACCCAGGCCGATGAATCACTAGCCGACTACCATACTCAACGACGCTTTTCCTGGCCACAAGCGTATCACCGCAACATCGTTCCAGACAATTCTTCCATCGCCCTTTTCCATCTGCCATTTTAGGCTCAACCCTACACGATCCTAGCGCCGCTCCATCAGGCAGGCCATGTGCATATACGAGGTCGTAGCTCCGCACCGGCTCGCGTTTTTATGGCGCCAGATCTTGATCAGCCGAAAGACCGATGCTCGTATCCCAAGATTCACAGGTCATCAACCATCAATGCCGAGGAAGCCTTCATCAAATTAGCTCGCATGGCTCGTGCGATGAGGGAAGCCAGTTATACAATTGGTCGTTACATCATTACTTATAAAAAGACAACACGGACAGCAGCTGGCCATGGCTAAAACCAGGCCAGTGTCCACGTACATGGCAGATTTGGCCATCTCTCCTGCCACGCGGCAAGAATATCCGGCACACGCTCATCAAACGCAGCACGGCTCGCAGCGCTGCCCATGTCAAAAGCGCCCGTTCCGACGGCTTCGCGCTCCTCCTTGGCGGCGGCATTGAGCGAGTTAGCGAGGTCTAAGATACCCTGGCCACCAATGTGCGCCTCCTCATGGTTATCCTTAATTTCCACATTGATGACGTGGACGGGTCGGTTCAGTGGCGAGCCACGATTCATGAGATCGTCTACAACGGCGTCCCAGCAACGCTCCTCGCAGGTGAAGACTATATCAACGACGCCACCCTCGCTGCCCTCGCTTCCCCGGTCGGCCGTGTGCTTGAGACGAGGAACGCCAATGGCCCAATCCTGCCAACGCTCTGGTCCCCACTTCACCCCGCGGTTTCTTGAAAGCATGTTCAGGATTCCGTTATTCTTGTAGAGCCTTGAGTCTTTGGAGTCGAGTTCCTTGTACATGCTGTCATACGACGTCTTGTTGAACTGGTATACATTCGGTTGGGTAATAGTCGGTCCGGGGAGACGCACAAGCGATCCCGTACCGAAAGAAATTACGGGGTAGTTTGCTTGGGACAGTCGTAGATGAGCTTCCATGGACCTGGGGTTGGTTAGATGAGAGAGGACACAGACTGGCATGAGAAAACTCGCAACATACCGATTCTGGTTACTGGCACAAACTGTGCAGAACTTCAGCTTGAAGTCATCAGAGCTGCTATTTGTTCCATTGGCAGCGGGAGCTGCACCATTGGCTGTGGCTGCCATGTTGGTACTGCGCGTCGTGGCGCGTAGAGAAGTTGATTGAACTTGACCGAGTCGCTGCCTGGGGCGAGCACGACACTATGTAGCAGTGGTTAGCTACAATACTGTGACATCAAGGTTGCACGACATGGGGGATATAAGGCAGTATTCCATCAGTGGTAAGTTGTTGCGTATAAAGTGTCTATCAACATGCAAGCTTCAGACAGCTCCAATATTTGAAATCATCATGGAATTGGGTACAGGTGTCAATGGCGATGGTCTTACCTTGTTGAGTAGAATCTACGTCATGAGATGGGTGTGAATTGACCGTCATGCCACCAGCTTAACCGGTGGTATGGGACGATGGCATTGTTGGGCGATGATGGAAACGATGCGGTGTGATTTTGGAACGCGAGGAAAAGGCGAGACCATTTCTGTGTGGGAGCTACAGTGGGGCGGCTAAATGTCGGCCCGGGAAAAGAAGCAGGAGAGCAGCAGTTCTAAAATTAGAAACCAAGCCTTGCGAGGGAGGAGTTACTAACTGCACTATCCGTAGCATGAATGCACTAAAGTGTGGGAAAAGCAAAAAAGCATAAACAAAGAAAACAAACACTGAGAAAAGACAAAGGACAATCTGTCAATTTGCAGAATAGCTGCTGGAGTTCAACGATGGTAGTGCAAGGCTGCCACCAGCCTGACACTGACAGCCACCATGTTGGCCGTTAGCGCATGCATAAAAGATGAAACACAGGGGCAGTCTGCCTCGCCCAATCATCGTCTCCGTGAGAAGCACTACGGTGACTGCGCAGCGCAAGTCACAAAATAGGCGCCTGCCTGGCGGTAGAGGCTTGCACCAGTGCATCGTTTGCCAATTGCAGAGCATTTGTTCTTCGCTTCTTGACACGTCACGGTTTGAGGTGATGCGGGCTGCGGCTTTGTGAAGCGGTCTGGTGGTGGTGAATGCAATGGTGCGTAAAGCCAAGGACAATAATTACGGAAAGAGGAAGAATTTCCGCACTTGGATCCGTGGCCGTGGCCACTAGCCCGGCTCTATGCCGCCGGCAATGTTGTCAGTTTGAATACGGAGACGGTCCTGTAATGACTTGCCTCACACGTGGCGGCGCCGGGATTGGCATTTGCAGCCTTGCTCGGCGGTTTCATGATCCCAGCTCCGTGGCGGCAACCGTCGACGGACTGCATATCACAGGGCTATTATGCGGAAGACGCGACCTGGCCAAAAGAGATGGCGGGTTCGTCTGGTGGGCGGCAACCCCTGACAATACCAATTCAGCAGCCGTTGGGGCCGTCTTGGTATTCATAAGACGGTAGCGGGCTTTTGGGCCGAAATTCGCTGTGGGAAATTGGGAGCCCCGTGAAATTCGTGTATGGTTTATGGACGTAGGTTGCCAGTCGAATGCATCCGAACATGTCGTACTACGTACAGAGCTGACGAGTGCATAGTAAGATTCTATTTTTGTCTGTTATATTGCAAGCCCGGCCGGGCTCAGGTGACGCGAGCCAACGTGTGTGTTGTACTTTGTAGTACGTAGTTCGGCCACTCCCCCCACATTGACTTGGGGATTCTGACTTTGGAAATGAGCAGAGAGATGTTGCTGGGCATTATTCTTAGTATTTTGGGAGGGGGATGACATGTTGTCCTTGCTGGTCGTGTGCCCCCGGTCCACGAGGCAGCACCTCCCTACCTAACTAGGTAGGTAGGTTGCCAAGTAGTTACGTTGGTTGGCAATGAATGCATTAAGCTGCAATTACAGAGCAACAGTGGCAAGTCTTGGCCGATCCGTAGAAGCAAGGGATGGAAACAAGGCGTGTGCACAGAGGAGCTAGTTGTGTTGGTGTCGTTACCCGAGCGGCCAGGACCGGAGATGGTTGTGAGTGACGACTCACTCTTTATTTTCCGTCGTTTTGGATACGCCCAAGCGCCACGGCGGACTGGATAGTTTACGCCAAAAATGCCCAGGTACCTACCTAATGTAACTATCCCTCTACTAGTATGAATAATAAAGCCAGCGAGCGGCGTTCTTCTTGTAACTAGAGCCACTGCAGTCACGTACGTGGGCAAGTAAGCTAAGTAGGTACATCTGCAGCAGGTCCTTCGTTAGGAGTACCTTAGTACCTACCTACCTACCTCATACCTTGGGGAAGGCGGAGGCTCTACACCACAAACCCATCGTCAGTCTCGTCGCGCCTTGACCTCCTATTTTGCTACGACCAGTACAAGTCAAAGTTTTGTTATGAATTTTGTCCCTGCTTTCCCCTTGACCGACCAAGAGGCTTGAATTGCCCGCAAGTGGTAGGGCGGCCGTGGCCCATGTCTGGCGGCAGCTTATCTAGCACAAGGCGGCGGCCCCAGTTCGCCAGCTGCGGCAGGCCTAAGCTCTGTCAGCTCTGTCTGCCTTAGTACCTGTACCAACCTCTAAGAAGGTACCGGCTGCACAGGTACCTGCCTAGGTGTACTTACAGGCTACTAACTGGTTTCCCCTCCACATCTCCTCCTCTTCTCCTCTATTTTTCCCCTACGCCCAAATCGTTCCATCTCACCCTTCGCCCTTTTTCGACAACTGCCAAGTGCGCACTGGGGTTTCTCCGACAACCTCTTTTTCATCTCGCCTCGCATTCGTCCGCTGCCGAACCTGGGTCGCAGCCGTGTGCTCTTGTCGCCTGGCCGCTGCTCGCTGCCCGCTTTAGCCTCGTACCCCACGCCCAAGCCTGCGTCTGCGCCCTCTTCTCCAGCCGCTGCCAAATATTGTTAGGTTGCGCCAACCGCCGACCAGACCAGGACAACCACCAGCCTTGTCCTCCCCCGTCCCTCGCGCCCGGCGACCGCTCTACAACAATCCATCAAACATCATCTGCTTTTAAATACGACCCATATCGCGGCGTCGTTTGTTCCATCTACCACCCGTCCACAGCCTACTTCATCCATCACGGCACCGCCACCCTTGCGACCGCCGCTCGTGTCGTGCACAACGCTTAGCGCACCACCAGCGTCAAATACACACCTCTTGGTGCGCGGCCCGCCTGTCAAGGCGCCCGTCCACCTGCCTTCTTCCGTGGCGGTATGACGACGACCGCGCCAGTGCCTGTCACCTCTGCCTCGTCGAATTCCTCAGCCAACGACTCTTCGCCCTCGGCCTCCAAGCCTGCGGCGCTGCCTCCGCTCACCACAACCACGCCCACCGCACGCCGCTCGACTCTCTCCCGCCCAATGTCGCACGTATCGAGGAACCGACTCTCCCAGTTCTCCACGGGATCTGTCCCCTCCAAGTCGAGGCCTGAGTCCAACGCCTTCCCGCTCTTCCCTTCCACCCTATCTTACACTCTTGTGCGCGATTTCGCATACCCATATACAAATCCCCTCCATTATGGCCCACCTCCAGAATCCTCCGGGCCGCCCTCGGGATGGACTACTCCCGCCAGTGAGAGTCGCCGACTGTCCGACCCCCCCGTTGCGTGGGATCAGCGCCTTTCCTCTCAGTTTTGGGGCTCCGACAGGGTCTCGCGCGCGCATGATATCCCTCCCATCCACTGTGGTGACGGAGGTCCTCCGTACAGCGAAGACGAGGACCTGCAAAGTCCTGTAGTGGCCACTCGACACCGCAAGCACAAGTCGACAGCATCGGCCGGCGGCGCTCACCGCAGCCAGATCCTCAACGCCTCCAACTACGACAGTGAGAGGGGCTACTACGTTGGTACCAGCGGAGATGGCCATGAAAAGTACTACGTCAACCAGGGAGGGGAAGCGAATGGCCCCGGCGGCGAATTCATCACATATCCTCCCGATCAATCACGACACAGCCGTGCCTATCATTACGACCAAACTAGCCGGCCCCACGACGAGTATGCTGCCGAAGACAACGCAAGCTCGCCTGCCTCTTCTGGCTTCCCGGATGCGGACCAATCTCGCTATTCACGAGATTACCAATTCACCATTACCTCGCCTGATGAAGAATTTCACGGTAAAGCCGTCGCGCTTTTTGATTTCGAGCGTGAAAACGAAAACGAACTCCCTCTTGTGGAAGGCCAGATTATCTGGGTGTCGTACCGACACGGTCAAGGCTGGTTAGTAGCCGAAGATCCCAAGACGCAAGAGAGCGGCTTGGTACCCGAGGAGTATGTACGGCTGTTGCGAGATATTGAAGGCGGAATGAATAGTCTGACGGGCAATGTCAACGACGCCATGGGTTCTGGAAACGATGTCAGCACCCCGACACAGGCCGAGCACTTTAGTCACAGCCAGCTAACGGGGACTGGCGGTGGTGCCGGCGGCGCAAATGGATATCATCAGCCCGTCGTGTCCATGTTCTCTACTTCGAGCAAAGATCTCAACCCTTACCCGACCGAACAGCTTGGCATTCAGGCTGGACAGGCCCCACCACAAGTAGTGCACTACCATGGTCAGCGCGGCGGCAGCCAGACTAGCACTCCGACAATCTATCAATCGCAGGATACTCCCACGCTGCCAAAGGAAAGCGAAGATGGAGGCTCAAAAGAAAACAAGCGATCGTCTCGCCAAGCATCAAGAGACTCCAAAACTATCGCTGCGTCCAAGGAGGAGGAGAACATTCGCTCCCAGCACCGATGAGGTGAGCCTAGAAGCTCAGCATGACAAAGTCGAACAACATTACTATCCGACCGGATCAATTCAACAAGAATATGATTATACTGCGGCTGTCGTCTCTCCGCACAACATGGCGGAATCAGAGCGGCGCGAATGACGAGGGAGTAGCCGCCCCCGAAAACCCCGAGACGTGAGGACTGCCAGTAGCAGCAGGTCTCCAATGGCAAGCTCTCAGAAACAGTCTAGAATCCCGGTGTATCCGGCTATTTCCAAGTAGCGTTGTTTCTAGATGAATATCTATCTATACACAGCGGATGGTTTGAAGACGCCTGCGCAGAGGAGCAGGCAAGTAGGAAATACTATAGTGGGGTGCGGCTGTACCAGGCTACACAAGCAGTGTACCTAGCATTGAAGTAAATAAACTATAATTCAGCCGTTGGATACCAAAGAAAGAAACCTAATTACCAAACTAGCAGCCGTTTATTGTACCCAGGCTCGTGTAAGTCCGAGTTGAGTCCGATGCACCTAGTAGGTTTCGCAGTACATCACGTGCATGGCGTCATCTATTTTTGGTGGGGAGCTCGCAGCAGTTGCTACACCTTGTGTTACGTCAAGATACTTACCTTCCCGGTAGCTCCCGCAGTCCTTGTTGCAAACACAATTCGTTTGCGAGGCGCCCAATTGCACATTCACCAACCTCGGAAATCATTGCAAAATGTTTGCTCGCTCAGCCTTCCGCGCGGCCCAGCCGCTTCGCATGGTACGTACTTGCCCTTTGTCTTTTGCATTGACTACAACATCTCCATCTCGTTATTTGCGCTCGTTTGTGTACCCATCCGAAAAAATAAAGTTGATTTCAAAGCCGTCAATGCCGTGCTCCACGCCCATGATGCTGACCACAGTCGCAGCACGCTCGCCGCTTCGCGACCGAGACCGGCTCTACTGCCGCCAAGCCCGCTGCTGCTGCTCCCGCCGCGCCCAAGACGGCCGCCGCACCTCCTCCGCCCCCTCCCAGCGGCGGCGGCGGTAGCAGCGCCTTTGTGTACGTCCTCGGCGCGGCCGCCCTCGGCGGCGGCGGCTACTACTACTACAGCAACCAGGCGGGTGGCGCCACCGCGGCCGGGGCCCCGAAGATCACCAAGCCGGCCTTTACCGGCGGTGACCAGGGCTTCCTGTCACTCAAGCTCGCCGAGGTTGTCGACGTCAACCACAACACCAAGCGCTTCCGTTTCGAGCTCCCGGAGAAGAACATGGTGCCCGGCCTGCCCATTGCCAGTGCCGTCTTGGCCAAGTACAAGGGCGAGGGAGATGAGAAGGCGACCCTCCGCCCTTATACCCCCATCAATGACGAGAGTACGTCACCATTGACCCTTTTTTCCAAACCTCCGGCACCTCATTGCTACTCCTGCTAATTCGTCTTTGTGCGTGTTAGATGAACCTGGCTACGTCGAGCTCCTCGTCAAGCAGTACCCCGGCGGTCCCATGAGCACCCACATCCACAACCTGCAGCCCGGCCAGACGCTCGACATCAAGGGCCCACTGCCCAAGTACGCGTGGACGGAGAACAAGCACGACCACATTGGCCTCATTGCCGGCGGCACCGGCATCACGCCCATGTTCCAGCTCGCGCGCGGCATCTTCCAAAACGCCAGCGACAAGACCAAGGTGACGGTCGTGTTTGGCAACGTCAGCAAGGAGGACATTTTGCTCAAGAAGGAGCTCGAGGAGCTCGAAAACACGTACCCGCAGCGCTTCCGGGCCTTTTACGTGCTCGACAAGGCGCCCGCCGAGTGGTCGGGCAGCACGGGCTTCATCACCAAGGAGCTGCTCAAGACGGTGCTCCCGGAGCCCAAGAGCGACAACATCAAGATTTTCGTCTGCGGCCCGCCTGGCCTGATGAAGGCCGTCTCGGGCAACAAGGTCAGCCCCAAGGACCAGGGCGAGCTGTCGGGCACGCTGCAGGAGCTGGGCTACACCAAGGACCAGGTCTACAAGTTTTAAGCTGGCTTGAGTGAGTTTGGTAAATTAGATTTGTTTTAGACTTGTAAGATTTAGATGGACAATACACGGTATTCTATTTGATTCATGCGAGATGAGAGCTGCCATGATTGCGTGATGAAGATGATGTTTACGTTTTATATACGCAGTCGCAGTCATCAAGGTATACACGTCAATTCATTGTATACGTCGGTTCATTTACGCCTCCAGGCAATGTTTATATACAATGTCACCCAGAACACGACAAGTCTCTCATTGAACACGGGCCACGATAAAGTCGGCCGCCTCCTGGGCGTGTGCGGGAACCTCGTTTCCGTGGACGTTGGATTCGCCGGCTGGGGCTTTGGAGCCGACGGCGCAGAAGATGTCGCCCGTGTCGCAGTAGCTCGCCAGCTTGTCCGAGATGGCGTTGAGCCTAGCCAGCTCTGCGGCGTTGTTCTTGCGCGAAAAGAGGCCGCCTTTGCCGTTGGCGTTGCTGCCGTAGTTGTAGCTCTGGTTGGGGGCAAACGTAGGGTCGCCAAACACGGTGACGGCAACGACTGTTTTTTCTGATTAGCCCTTTTTTTTTTTTCGCACTTGAACATTCTTTCTAAAGCGAGAAGGGGGGGGCAAAAAAAAAAAACGCAACTGTTCTTGAGGTACTTGGCATCCAGCGGCGCGGGCTGGAGCAACCCCCCGGCGAGCAGGTCGGTCATGACGTTGCCGCCCTGGCTGAAGCCGATGAGGGCGATGCGGCTGCCGTCGCCGCACTGCGCGACGTAGTCCTGGATCTTCTTCTTGGCGTCGCTGATGCCCTGGGACACGGACGCCGGGTAGAAGACGCGCGCGACCACGCTGCGGCGGCGGTGCTTGAGCGCCGTCGCCGGGTAGTCGACGGCGACGCTCGCGGAGCCCGGCACGCGCGCGGCGACGAGCGCGCTCACCTGCGCCGACACGCCCTCCCCGGCGTCCTCGTTGGTGCCGCGCGCGACGAGCATGTACACCCCGG